CCCAACACTGCCGCCAGTGGCTCCGCGAAAAGCACCTGCATCACCCGTGCCGCCCCTGGCCCCCCGACCCACCTCTCCCCCCGACCCCCATGCCCCAACCCCATCCCAACCGCCTGCAGTCCCACGCTATTGCGACACAGCCTAGCTCCAACCAGGAGCTGCTCACCGTGCTCGCAGCTTGGCACTCCCCTGGACCGCAAAGCCCATTCGGCGGCGAAGAACCCACATGCAGGGGAGCAGGGCAAGGCCGCAGCGCGCACACAGCCAGTCAACACAATGACGCCCCCTGGGGACCCGGAGCTCCGACAGCCACAACATGGTGGTACCAGGCCAGTCAGCCCTTGGCGCCACTCTCCATACGCCGGTTAGCTCACACGTCAGCCGGCTTACCTGCAGCCTAGCAACCGCCTCTTCGTACGCCCCCGCCTGCTCCCGAGCTGCCTCCTCCAGCTGCCCGGCGAGGGAGGTCAGTGCGCTGGAGACCAGCCCCCCCACGGCGCGACCGATGAGGTTTGGCAGCAGGCCGCCACTCCCTCCTGCCGGTGATGGTGGTGATGGTGGTGGTGGTGGTGGTGGTGGTGGTGATGGCAGTGCGGGAAAATCGGAAAAGGTGACCGGGCTGTTAAGGGTGCAGGCATTCGGTAGTGATGCAACTTATTCCGACATAAGGCCCGCCTAGCACAGCACTTGGGTGTATGAGGGCGCCTTGCGGTCATGGTTACGAAAAGGCCATGCAATAAGGGGAGGGAGAGGGAGAAATGCACGCTTGTTGTAAGGGAGGCGCTCGTCTGGAGCCGCCCATCCTAGTCGCCTCTGCTATGGGGTGCTGCCCCTTGCCCCTTGCCACGTGCCACGTGCCCACCAGGGAAGGGCCCCAACGGCGCCTCCGTCTTCGCTGTGGGTGCGGGCTTGGCCGACTGCCCGGATGTGCTGGACGGGACCAGACTGGCGGCTGTGTCCTTGATTTTGTTTAACACGGACCTGGGTCGTCAGGCGATGAACGGCGACGGATGGCGCCAGGGAGGGGAGCGCAGGGGCAAGGGGTTACTAACTCGCGAAGCTCTTCAGAACACGGATTTTAGAGAGTAGCAAGTCTCAGTCACAAACATATGCGAAGATCATGTTGGTGTTCGGCCTTGAGACGCGGTGATACGCAGCACGTGCCAGGTAAAGTTGCAGCCAAGGGAACAGCCTGAGCTCTGAGCAGGCCATGGACTTTTCTGCAATCGCTCGACGATGCAGCTGCTCTTGCATTCATGAGGAGTGTTGTTATCGGCAGAACGCTGTTGTACGGCAGCTGTCCATGGCAGCAGCTACAGCATCAGTCTAAAAGGATAACATGTATAGCGAGAGCACTGTTGCAGATGGCCGTTCAGGGGAACCAAACGGCGGATTGCACGTATGCTAGGGCACCAAACAGCTTGTATGCAGCTGGTTGGAACGCCAGGAGCTGCCATGAGATGTAATGGCGCACGGCTCCCGTGCCGCGGATCCAAGGACACGAAAAAGCTCCGGCCCAATAGTGAAACCCCTTCCGATCCGGTGTGCACTTCTCTCTCTGTTGTGCAACCAGTATGTATTTTAAAATGCTATGCTACTAGTATGCACCCAGTGCCTACCCGTGTCCTGTTTGCTTGGCAAGTGGGCTCCCGTAGGCTAAACGAAAATCGATGAGCTTGAAAGCGAAAACCCAGGATTAACTTGACATCCCCATTTCGACCGTTGGGGGAACCAATCTACCCACTTTGCGACTCCCGCTGCATCCTCAATGATTTCTCCCCAGGACTTCTCCTTTTCCGAATCGGGCCGATCCCCTTTGGTGGCACGCAATGACGATAGATGACGTACAGCAACCGGTGCTCGCTGGAAAGACATTGGTGAGTCACATCTGCATACTCGTTGTGTGCAACCAAGACGCCGAGTCAGATATGTTCGGGTATGCATAGTCCGTAACGTCGACAGCCGAAAGATAAGCATCCGCAGTTCCAGACCTTCACGTAACTACAGTGATATTGTAATCTTAGAAATCCGGATGCAAGAAATGACTTCGTTTTTCCGGGTTGACAAGTGCCCGTACCTTCGTTGCTCCAGAACCCTCGCTTGTGAAGCAACGGTGGTGGCAACCTCACTTCATAACGCTTGTAATTTCCCCTCTGCAAAATTCTATCATGCCTTTACGGTGTGTTTATCGTCATCTTCAACAAAGTAAGCCTCTTGCCGGTTGTGCTGCCCTCCCGCTACAATACCTACTTAACCGATTCATTTCGGAAGAGCAGCTTAGTGCAAGTCCAGACAGAGTGACTGAACTTTTTGAACGAAATTTGCTCAAGGCCAGTCGCAAGAAGGCCGAGGAGCCCCGGCAGGTGTTGACAACTCGTCGTGAGGCTCTGTCCCTGTACCGTGAAATCCTCCGCTACAGCAACCTTTTCGTTTGGCGCGACGAGAAAGGGCGGCTGTGGCGCGACCTCATACGTAACAGCGCACGCAAGGAGTTTGAGGCCGCACGGTTTGAGCCCGACCCGGAAATTGTTAACAAGTTGATCATTACAGGGCGTGACTGCGTACAACGCACTATGGAATCCTTCGCCACGCGCGCGAAGACGCTTGTGGACGGGTCGGGAGGTCCCCACAAATAGGCAGTCCTGTCTTTGAGGTGTAGTGTTGCCGTATATGCTTTGCTGCATAGTTGCACGTGGAACTGGAGCGCTTACGCCGGCGCGCTTCTTCTACGAAAAATAGCCCGTCATCTTGTCACTATATTTCATGTTTTGAAGGTAGATCGTGGATGGCATGACGTGGACATGAATTCCCTGACCTCTTCCTAGGCACCTCTGGCTGTGCAAAACACATTCATGGCACAAGAACTTAGAACGCCAATGTAATGTCTGGTAACACAGGCCCCCGACATTCGCTCAAGCAGCCAAAATACATAAAATGTCATATTACGGTGTACGGCAGCCAAAAGTTTCAACTGCACATAGCAATGCTAAACCATGCAAATCAATGCTGAGGTCCAATTTATCAGCGTCCTGCGAACGACAATACATATGCACATTTCAATGAAGAGTCGTGTCCAATTGCCTCTCGGAAGATACAACCACGGAGTCCGGTTGCAGGAACCCCGACCTGTTGCATGACCGCGCTGACTCCGAGGCTCCAAGAAGTTCACAAACTGGAAGAGAATCTCTGCATGGCACTGCTGATGTAGCAGCTTTAATATCGCCGCTGCGTCACTGGGATGGCGTTCGCACCGGTCATGCTTGCACCGCCACCGAAGCCGCGGTATCCGCCGCCACCACCACCACCCCGCGAGCGGAACCCTGTGTTCAAAAGCATGGCGAATGGGGACAACTGTACATGAACGATACCCTTAGCACGACTGGCTCTTTAATTAACCCTAAGTTAACACAATCTGAACTTGCAAGCAACACATTCTACCCCGGGAAGGCAATTCCGAACCCTGAGCAAACTCACCGCCGCCGCCGCCTCCACCTAAGTGCGTCATTTGGAGCAGCTCGGGAGGTGGCTGTTGCCCAGCCTCCTGCATCACCTCGACCACCTGACGCGCGAGGCGCGCGTCGGCGCCGGTGAAGAACGAATAGGCCGTGCCGTGCGCACCAGCGCGACCTGTGCGCCCGATCCGGTGGACGTAATCCTCCGCCGTCTTGGGCATGTCGTAATTGACCACAACCTTGATGTCCTTGACATCTGAGCGCCAAACCGGTACCGATGCAGGCGAACAAGCAAGCACAGGACCAACGGCAAACGCAGAAACCCCAAAGCATTCCCCACAAACAGAAGACACATTACCCACAAGCGGGTTACCGTGTTACCGTGGTTTGGAGAACAGTCGCCAACACCGTCGACGTCAGCAGAGAGGGTGTAGAGAACGCCGTAGCAGAGTGACATCAGCGATGTCCAAGTTGAAACGTATGGGCGCAGAAGGGATGGATAGCGCAACCCGGCACACCGAGGGGTGGGTCCAAAAGCAGGGTTGCGTCAACGAGTAGACCATACAAAACAAGGACACACGCGGCATGCAGGTACTGAAGTGGGAAGCTGTCCTTCATTATATTGGTAGGTGTGTAGAAGCTGCGTCTTTAACCCGCGAATCTCCACAGCCGGCGCCAAGCCGCGCCGCCCCAGGCACCGGTGAGTCTGTGTTTGGAGCTCCTGTATCCAGAGCAGCCTGTGTCCAGAGCCATGATCGAGGAGTATTCTTCCTCGAGTACCGCCCAGAATCCGCGATGCGCCACCACCAACTACCACATGTTAAGCAGCTCCTACGCCGACAGCCCAGAGCTCCCCAAGCCAGGCCGCTTTAGCTGTGCATGAGCGGCCGAGCCATGCAGTAGTTTGAATGCCGACGGAAGATGCTCTCCAAGCCTCCTGCGGCGCACGAGTTCACCGCGGCCGACCGCCATCCGCATAGCAGCAGTGCCGCGAAGCAAGCCCCGCACGACACAGCCTCTGCTGTGCGCCAGCCCCCGCCAACCCGCCACCTTCATCCCGCGACCTTGCCAGACAACCCCTGGAGCGCGACATACTTGGCACGCGCCAGGGCCACTCCATGCTGCCACCACTACGCGCACGACTGCCTGCAAGCAGGCCGCCGCCGCGGAGCGAAGGCCCCCAGGGAGTGGGCGGCATGTCGCGCGGAATAGGCCCCATACAGGCGGGCGCGATCCGCCTTCATTAGGCCGGTCGCGCCAGGAGGCGCGGGGTGCTAATGCTTTGCGACGGCGCGACCCCCGCGGGTCGTTGGGTCAGCAGGGGTTGGTGTGAGGTCGGACAGCCGCGGCGCCGCGTGCGCCATGGGCGGCGCCGTTGGAAGCAGCAGGGCCCCCAATGGCGATTGTACAGCTCTGGGACGGCGGCTGCTCTGGACACAGTGCTCCAACCCCCTCCACCTTACTGGGCTGCGGCGCGGCTGTGCAGTGCTTGAAGGCTGGATGCCAAAGCTGCCAGACACATCCAATTCAATATGCTGCTACTGCGCGGCTGACTTGTTGTCTTCTGGAGATTGCCATGCTTGTTGTTATGCCGCTGATTGCTACGGAGTAACCTGACTTCTCAAGCATTACATCCACATAAGTGCAAATGTAATCAGCACAGCTCCTATCGCTGCCTGTGAAACATGCAAGTTCGCAAGCTTCCATGCAAGCTCGCCTAGCCTGCCACCTAGGTGTTCGGTGGTAAATGCGGGATTCATCGCGAGCCACAAATGCTAGACGCAACAGACAGTCTCGATGGATAGCCAGCAGTGAAAGTTGATTGTAGCAAACGTTACCTAGTCCGCGTGCAGCCACGTCAGTGGCGAGCATTATTGGGTGCGTGCCGTTCTTGAACTCCTGCAAGACCCAGTCGCGCTCCTGCTGACTTTTGTCGCCGTGGAGGCCCAGAGCAGGGTAACCGTCAGTGCGCAGCTGGCGTACGAGCTGCAAAAGACAAGCAAGGCACACAGTGGTATTTTACCGGGGCACGACATAATGCTTACCGCAAAAAAATGTGCAAGAACGAGGAGATTAGCGCACCACCGAATGACGAGGATTGAAGTCCAAGTGCCATAGAAACCCTGGAATATATCTGCTACATCCCTACCTCGTCGCAGCCTCGCTTTGTCTCACAGAAAATTAGGATTCGGCGCCCGTCCATCTCTGTATCAAGCAATTTGCGAAGGCGGGGGTACTTCGCATACCCTTCCACCATCTCCACGATTTGCCGAATATTGTGGTTCGCTTTCAGTTCAGGAGACCCAATGATGACCTGTGGCGATGCAGCAGTTGACGTTTTCCGATACAGCCTTAGGAAATGCAACAGAGCGATTACGGACGGGTGCAAAGGACCTATATCGCGCATTAGGCACTAGCCACATCGAGCATATGTTCCGGCCACACTCACCTGATACGGGTTCTTAAGGAAGTCGCGGGCAATCGCCTGCACCTCCTTTGGCCAAGTGGCCGACCATAGCAAAGTCTGGCGGTCTGGTCGAATCTACGAAGGACATGAGGATGAGCACAATATACGAATGGACGTTAAGGCATGAAAGAAACGCATCCCAGCCAAATTCCAGCACACTACCGCTTTCGACACCGCGGCCAATACACTTAGGCACCATCTCCTACTGCACGGCAGGGAAAGGATGTACCTGGTCGACAATTTTCCGGATTTGCGGCTCAAAGCCCATGTCAAGCATGCGATCCGCCTCATCCAACACAAGGTACGTCACACGCCGGAGGTTGGTAACTCGCGAATCCATCATGTCGATCAGGCGGCCAGGGGTAGCAATCACAATTTCCACACCGGAGCGCAGGTCTCGGGCTTGCGGCCCCTTCGGAGCGCCGCCATACACCACAGTATTCTTTATACGTGAAGAGCTGCCGAAGCGCTGGCACTCCTGCTGGATTTGCACGGCCAGCTCGCGGGTAGGCGCGAGAACCAGAACAATAGGACCGTCACCAGGTTCTGCGAGGGAGCAAGCAAAGGGTGAGTTTATGAAATCAAACAGGCGGCAGGCAAAGCATGTGCAACAACTACCACAAAGGTCACTGTTCGCACAACCCGAAAACCTGGACGGGGAGCCGCTGTGGCTCTCGACCAATTATCACATTTTCTGTTGTAACCCCCCGTGACTATCCTGTGCCAACTTACGTAGGTACGGTTGCGCGTTAATGTGAACAACAGCAGGTAGCAGATAGGCAAGGGTTTTGCCACTTCCTGTCTCAGCCAGCCCGATAAGGTCACGTCCCAGCAATGCCATGGGCCAACCCTGGCACTGGATTGGCGTCGGCTCCTTGAAGCCAGCACGAATGACCTCAGCTAGAACGTATTCAGGAAAGGAAGCCTCTTCAAAACTGGTAACGGGCTTGGGCACGCCATCGCCATAGACGTGGATCTGCTTGCTGCGCCGAAAAGCCTCCACTTGTTCAGAGCTCCGCGAGCCAACAGCAGGGTGCTCCAAGTAAAAGCACTTCTCAAACTTAGGCCTGCAGAAAGGCAAATAACATGATGATAGTGATCATATCGTTTTTCGTGCGAAAAGTCAACCGGACCCCCAACTGGTCCCGATGTGGCCCTCCGGTCCTTCCTCCCATCCAAGGACATGAGAATAACCGCAGTCCACCGAATTCAAGGAACCCACAAACTCACAAGTTCGAGAAGTCTGGCTTCGGAAGCGCCATGTTGTCGAGTTCGTCCCGGCCTCCTCGAGAATTGAAACCATAACTGCCACCACCACCACCGCCACCACCACCACCACCATAGCTGCTACCGCCATAGCCGCCGGAGCGGCCACCGTAAGATGAGCCACCCCATCGGTCATCACTGCGCCCGCCCCCATAGCTGCTGTAATGGGACATTTTTACGATTCGTAAGTCTATGCAAAATCATTATTCTGCAAGGCATCTCTCTGTTATTCCTCAACGATGTTGGAAACGACCTTCCCGTACATGGGCAAGGTTGTCATTAGGCCTGTACATCCAGGAGGCTGCCATACCATGTGAGTACTTGCACTCGTCCTTGAAATTGTTATGTGGCATTGCTTATGCTTCCACTTAGCCGTCCTGGTCCGTCACCGGGTTTCCACGTGTAATGGTACTAGGCGCCGATACTAGGCGCCGCACATAGGCAACTTCTCATCCTGCGCGGCACCTGTCCGACATGACTGCAGGGGGACTTCCGCTTGGCTGTTGCGCCCGTGATAAACCACACTCGGCCCATCCCTTGCTACCTCGGGTTGGCCAGAACTAGTGGCACCCGGGCTTTCCCTTGTCAACGGCTTCCGCTGCGTCGATAAGACATTCCAGACGTGCATGGGCTCATGCATGCCTGCAGACGATCATATTGGAACTACCATAACCCTCCCCCAATATAGACAGATACAACAAGAGTCTGCGGGGCTGGCGCGCGTGCTCAGTGCGGCGCATAAACTGGTACACGCTGAGGCAGATCTTGGCAAACTTTTCGCAACCCTGAAGACAGACTTTGTGCAAAGTCAACTTTATAGCATTCCAGCATCGCCAACACACACCTAATAGTACGGCGAAAGCCCGGGCCTCAAGGTATTCTCTCTCTGTGTCTGTGTGTGTGTGTGTGTGTGTGTTATACATGGTCGTGGGTGCGTTCCCCGTACCTGCAAACCGCTCTAATACGAGCCGAGGGCTCAAGGGCTGCCAGATCGCCGGAAGCACCATCCTACCTCACACTTCAGACAAAGCAAGTGATAAAGGATACTAACGACCAAAGGGAACGATAGAGTTGCGGTGGGAACATATACGTTCCAGCATCCTTGCCAGGCGTTCAGGCTCCCACTTCATACCATCCTTCATACGCTCGAAGCGTGGGAAATCCATATCAGATCTGATGATTTTGTCGCCAGACAGTCCAGCAAAATGTGCTTCTCATCCTCGATATGGCTAGCAGTGCCGCAGCAGGGACATACTTGCTCTTCCCTAGGTATTTAGCGCCGTCCCTGACGCGCTCTGTTAGCCGCCAATGCCCAACAGCAAAGCCTAAACTGCATAAGCTTGCGATTCGCTGAACGCGGGATAAACAATGTGATATGCGGGAGCACCTCCTTCCTGCCCGCTTGTTCGGCCGCCAGACCCGTCCAATTCTTATACTTCGCCATGTGATTTCCTGGTTGCTTGCCGTCTGACGGGTACACGTCTGGCTGGACATCTAGACGCGTATGCTTCCAACCACTCACCGATCGGTCCTTGAACTCCACTACCACACTTCCTGCCAATGGCCTGTTCATCAGCCCTTCCACTCGTTCGTCTACCTCGTGTAGCCCTTGCGGGGCCTCTTTCCATACGTCGTGCCCCAGAAAACATAGAAAACGGAGGAGTAGTGCCCCCCACCCGGCCCCTTCGGGGTTGGAGAGGGACTCTACGACCCCCTGTCGCAAAACTTGGTGTGCCACAGACCCACGCTGTAAAAGGACACGGTTCCAAGACCTCACAATCTGTTTGAAAACATGGTCGTGTAGCTGCGACAATTCGGCGAACAGGAGGCGCATATGAGATATAAGGCGTCAAGCCCACGACTCCGCACATACAACCCGAGAGAGATAATCCAAAACGGCAGAGTACATTTGGATAATCAGCAAAGTTTAGCCAGTACTTGTGGATGCAGGCCGGTCTACCCACACATGTGCACACCTGGCTTTCATGCGTTACACACCTACCGGAATGGCTTTAATCTTCCCTGAGCAGCGCCCGTACCGGCTGCTATACGTCCCTCCTTACATACATAGCCACTTCCGGCTGCATCGCCTGACCACATCCCCAAACCAATCCCTGCCCCCCAGCTCCACCTCCTGGACCCTACCCACCGGCACTACAACCTGGACACGGGCGCATCCCCTAACCCAGCCCCCACCTCCCCTTGCCCCCCACCATGTGGTGCCCCAGCCCCGGGGCCAGGCCTCGCCCCATGTTCCCGCATCCACATCACTAGGGCCTCCACGCTTTCCTCCCACCCGGGCCCGTGCAGCAACTCGTGGTAACCCCCTTCCACGCTCCGAAATACACGGTCCACGCTGGAAACCCCGCCAGGACCCTCCGCGAACCGGCGCGACGCGGCGGCGCTGGTAATTGCATCGCGCGTGCCGTGGCATACGTACACCGGCAGTCGCAGCTCTGGGGCGCGGCAGCACACCTCCGCAAAGCCCCTCAGCAGCTCGTTGGCGGTGCGAGCACGCACTGGCCCCACCGTGTTGAGCGGATCGTTCACGTACTCGGCCACCAGGACAGGGTCGGGGCTCAGGTCCTCGGGACGTACCGCGGGGACCACGCGGGCACGGGGGATGAGCAGCGACAGCAAACTGCCCACCGCGGCTTGCACCCTGAAAAGTGGTTTTTATAATTAAATTTAAACCTTCTTGTTTTTCTTCTTTTGTTAAAAAAGAGATGAAGGGGTGCATCGCACGGTTTTAGCGCAGGACTGTACCGGCTCCGGCAAAATAACATGACCACAGACTGACCATGCGCTGGGCTGAGCACCAACCACGGCTGGTAAGCTGCAGCAGTGTGCCACTTTGTTGTGTTGGAGAACTGACGGAGCTGCACGACTTCGTGAGCAGCCGGAGGTTGTTGACGTGAAGCCGATGGTTTCCGCAAATCCCACGCAATCTCCTCTCAGGGTCAACAACCTCCTCGCGTCTGCAGCAGCTTCAGTACCACTCACACAGCTCCCTCCGGTCGCGCCACCTGACCACCTCGACCTGAGGACTTGACCCCCCCCCCCGCACAACAGTCCCAATACATTCCAGACCCCAAGACATCCCTCACCCCACCGCTCCGCCAATCTTCGGTGGCCCCTCCCCATGTTCCTCGTCTGGCGCCTTCGTTGGACATCCAAATTACAAACCCATCCTTAAGCAGACGCCCAGCACATACACAAACATACACACACATACACACTTGTTCGGCCCACCTGAGCACTGGTGTCCATTCTACGTCCAGCGCCGGTGAGTGCATCATAAGGCCCGCCAGCTGGTCCTGACGCCGTAGGCATATCAGCGCCGCCACCAGGCCCCCCATGCTGTGACCCAACAGGAACACGGGGACCCGCCGGGCGGCATGTAGCACCGGGTGGGCCTGCTGGCCCTGAGCGGGCTGCTCGGACGCCAACACGTGGTCCATGAAGTCGCTCAGATCGTCCACCTTGGGGTCAGTTGGGCGTTGGGGCCGAGATTTGAATGATTGCATTTTGGTTTTTAGGTCGTGCGGAGAAGAGGTCCACATGCCGAGAGCCCAATAATGCTGTCGTACAAGTAAGAGGACATGTGATTTGATCAACTGAGCTGCGAGAAGGGAGTGCTGGAGTACAACTTAGGGGATGCGTGTGCCATGCAAGCTCTCCTGAAGCTTATTGCGCTTCCCTTCTTATGGTTCAATGGATGTAGATAGCGGAGGGCTCAGTTGGGAGTGCGGTTAGAGGCGGAGACAAGGAGGACTTACCAGGTGTGTATAGCGGTCGACAAGGGCCCGACAGCCGGCCTCCAGCGGCTCCGACTTGCCGTGTCCGTGAGCGTCATATGTGTGGACAGCTATGCCTTGCTCGGCCATCATTCTGCACACTGCAGCGGAAGAGTGTGAACGTAGCAGTGATTAACAACGAGGTCGTCGTACGGTGCATCCTCGTGTTGAAAATAGTCTGAACCCGGTCGTGCGTGTGCGGGAGGGCCCGGCGGTACCGGCAGCGAGGTAAAGGTTTGGCTTGGCTTGGCTCACCTTTGTCATAGCGGCCGCAATGTTCCGCCAGGCCATGATGCAAGACGAGCAGGGCTTGCGGAGAGCCGCGTTGCGGCAAGTATTTAAGTGTATGAAGTCGCTGGTTCCGCCTGTTCTTGAAGATACCAGGGACACCACCTCCCGAGCAATTCCCTAAATCTGACATGAAACGAGTTGGAGAACTCCAGAAAAGATCCAGTAAAAAATATTCTGCTGTATGTCGGATGCCGGTTTCGAGACGCTCTTAAATACGCAACCGACGAGAGCAAGTTGGCATTCCAAATATCGGGAGTGACAGCATACGTTGTAAACCCCAATTCAGCTTTAAGGCACTACAAATTATTCACAACCGCCGGGTTTTCGAGGCGAACTACTGAGGCTGACTCGGATTTCTGCCGTAGTGTTCCTTTTCCACAGGCAGCACGCATACGAGTATGTTTGTGGACATAATTCGAAATTTCATAACTGGTTTGTAATGCCCCATTTCAGTCGACTATCTTGTAATTGTTCATAATTTGTTAAGCTAGACAATCCCTAACGCACAATTCCCATGGCAAGCGATTTTGTAACCTCTGACGCCTTCGGTGACTTCTTCTTCTTGGGTAAGGCAGACCAAATTGTGCTAGCCTAATTGTGTTGGTGCCCAAGACTAGATTTCGGAACAGTTAAACGCCGCGCTTCCCTATATTTTGCAGCCATCACGTTTCTTACAGTTATGGCACGTTTTATGGGAGCTTGCACGTCTTACATTGTTGCGGCTTGTCCTGTGGCAGCAACTCCCCAGGGCGGGGTCTTGCCGCGCCCAAACCCTGCGCTTTGTATGCAAAGCAACGCACACGGGCTGCTGGTCGAGTAATCCGCTTGTCCTTCAAACCTGCAGGGGCAGTCAACCAACCATGCAAGCAAAGTATCGCGCAGAGCTCGCCTACGAGCCCATGTGGCAATTCCACCGCTGTCTTCACGTTTCCAGTACGCAGGAGGGATTCATCGTCCAACAAACAGCTGCATAATGTGTCAACTGTGGAAGTTAACTGCAGCCTCTCTGCGCCCCCTGCCGCCGACGCAACCGCGACCCTTTTCCTGACTGCTCTGCAAGATGCTGACAGCGACTGCAAGCAAGTTTCGGATACGGACGATGTGAACGCTTCCAGCGCATGTCGCACCCACGACAAGATTGGCGGGCCTCCTAACGAACGGGGTTACGGACGGTCCAGCTCGTTGGACACAGGTAACACACAGTCGAACCGGGATCAGTGCCATGCAGACGGCTGCGTAAGACCCGCCAACACGGTCTCAGCATACGAGGACCAGGACTTGCATTTGACCTGCATGACGACGCGCCGCAGCGGCAGTGTCGGGGGAAGCGGCGGCGGTGCCGGTCCCCACTTAAATAACCACCATCACAACGGCTGGCATAGCACCGAGTGGTGGCGCAGCTTTAGCAGCTCACGCCTGAACGAGATGGCCACGGAGGAGCCGGACAAGCGCTCGCCCGAAATGCTCCGGGTTCCTTACGTGGGAGGCGCAGAGCCAATGTGTACATTGGTACATGGTGACAAGGGCGAGTCGCAGTGAGGCAGGGATGGGGTGTGCGGTTGCAGGTTGTGCTGTAAGGGGTCAATAACAAACGGTTTCGGGTAAAAAAATAAAACGTCATGGCCGCATGGGCGGGGAGGCGAACCCTTGCGGGTGTGGGCAAGCCTCTTATGGCTTGCATAAGTAGTCAGCGGCAGAGGTAACTTTACAGTCAGCGCTCCTGTACATTGGGCAGTAAGTACGTTGGGAGGCAGTTGCCTTGCGTTAGAATGCCCAGTTTCCCACATAGTGTTACTTGTTTTGGTGGGACATGGTCATTGTGCCTGGAACGGCATCCACCGTGTGTCCTCGTAAGTTTGTGTAATAGGGCACAAGGATCCGTAGAGCGTTTTCCGCCTGGCACGCGTACTGTGAGGTCCTGTGGCGCCCCAGTGATTGACGGCATTCTGTAGGGCGCAGTCTGCGTTTGTTTTGTGGTGCGCTGATGCCCTGATATCCGTTGGGTCCGACGTTAACTGGCCAGCTAAGAAGAAATGTTTTCAATGGCACGTGCATTGCAAAGTGGCTGCTCGTTTTGCAAGTGCCATGAACGTTGCAAAGCGAGGTTTGGGCAAAATGCTTTATCATAGTGTGTACGTGCATAATGTTGGAAGCTTACATAACACTTACGTGGGTTCATATGACATGAATTTTCTTTAGGAGCATTTTGTCTTTGTAAGTAAGTCGACATCATTTGCTTTGCCGCTGGAGTGCAATATGTGCACGGTTCAGCGTCTCCTTTGCCGTCACCAATGTCGTGCTCAACAAGCCCGCCTCCAATGCTTTAAGCCAGTTGGCAGTTTACTACGGAAGAGGGCTTGGAAAAATGGCAACAATGAGCCAACGGTGCGGATGGATGTTACTTACTTTGTCGCACATAGGGAACCCTGTAACGCTTACAATATCAGCAATTACAGGAATTTATGTCACGTCGAACTATCCTTTTTGGAGGCACGGTTCTTGGAGCTGTCGCTGGCTTCTGGGCACTCCCCGCACCATCGTTGACGTTGGAGGAAGTGACGCCTGTAATAGTGGCTGGTGGCCCAGCGCTCCTACCGCCTAGGCAAGGCCAATCTACCATGTTGTTTATAAGCTTTTGGTATATCCAGACATGCGAGGCTCCTTCGGCCGCGGTCGCAGGGAAGCAGCTATTGTCTCAGTCTTTGAGCGCAACACGTATTCCATTGCCAACGTTGTTGATGTCGCGCTCCAGGTGCGCCTGCTGGGCGCTAAAATGCTCATTGAGTGTACATCGCAGCTTGGCGACCATGTTGGCGATGTACGACACCGTACTGTACGTGACCACATTTTCTTGGAGACACCGTAGTTTTTTTGGCCTCGCTTCCCGCAGGGCCGAGCGGCAGCGAGTCCCGAGGTGGACGTCCCCGAGGGCAATGGGACGGGTGAGGCAGTCGGAGCCTGAACACAAGCGGAAAGAGCACGAAAACCTCCATGCCGCAAATGAAACGACCCTTCGCCTAGGAGGGCCTTGAGCCACGGCATTGGCATTGGAGCACGCCAGACACAGCTCCACACCAGGGCCCGGAGAGCGACATGGACTCGTACGGGAGGGCCCATAACACGCAGCCCCTCAGCCGCGTACCTGCCTCCCCCTCCCTCATGCGGCTCTTTCTTCTCCAATCTGTCGACTGGTCCGAGGGCCCACACAAACACCTAAAAAGGCCGCCGGCTGCTGGCAGGTGCTCTCCCACAGATCCATGAGGAAGGCCACTGACCAGGCCACCGAGGCCCCTCTGCTAGCAGAAGCCCACCAACTTATGCATGGACGCACATCATATTACAACAAACGGCCCCAATGAAGAGGCCCGGACCCGACCCGACCCGACCCGACCCGACCCACTCCGCGCCTTCCACACCGTTTGTTTGGCGTCCGCCGTGAGCTCCAGCTGGCGTGTGCCTCATGCCAAGGCCCCCAATTGCTGTTATACGCCCAATCCTGCTCCCTCTCCTGCTTCGCCCCTCTTGCCCTCTGCGCCACCTTCCCCTCATGCTGCGCCCCGGTGGATTGGTCCCATGGCTCAGGGTTTATCTGGGACGATCAGGGCCACGTAGTGACCAACTACCACGTCCTCCTAAGCTCCCTCAAAGGCCTGGGACCCGACCCAGCGGGGCGCGGCGGCAGCGGGGCATCGCCGCCGTTGGTGGCCAAGGTGCGCTAAGACACGAGCATAGAGAGGGCAAGCGTCACCACTTGTGGTGGTGATGGCTGGCTGCTTGCGCAACCGCTGGCTCTGTTCCCATTCGGCGCAGCGCTTACTTTGAAATGTAGTCGGCATAGGGCATAGGTTGGTGCTGTATATTGCCATAAATATAGTTAGAGCATATATATGTATAGCATCCGCACATGGCTGCACGAACCGGAAGTATTAGTGCGCCTCGAGCAGCAAGCAAGAGCATTTTACTAAATTTGTGCTGAACCGCTGCGGGCTCTTTTGAATCATATGCAGGTGACGCTCACCAATCCTGGCAACGACGTGGAACAGACCTTCGACGCAGTGCTGGTGGGCGCGGATCGAACCCGGGACCTTGTGGTGTTGCAGTTGGTGGGAGCGCCTGCCTCGGTGTTGCGGCCCGTGCAGCTGGGAAGCAGTGGTTCTCTCCGAGTGGGGCAGCAGTGCTTGGCCATTGGGTGGGTCGGGTTATGTGTGTCTGTGTGCGTGTGTCTGTGTGCGTGTGTCTGTGTGTGTGTGGATAATGCATGAATGGCTGTTTGGTGTAGCAGCCTTCCGGTTGGGCGGTAGCAACCACTAGTCTGGTTGGGATTTAGAACGGTGTCGGGAAGGGGATGGGATGGGATGGGAGCTGCGGCCCTCGCTTGGATGCGGGCTTTAAGGTAGCAAGAGAGGTAGAGGGTTGGCAATGAGGTACGATTATGACAGGCAGATGAGATCACGTTTACTCGGGCCGCCCTCCGTCTTTTCCCCGCACTGCACTCCACGTCGCGCTGCTGGCTACCCGCAGAAACCCGTTCGGCTTTGGACACACCCTCACAAGTGGTGCGTAGATGGGGCCGGGTCGGGGGGGGATGATATGTCGGAGCATGTGTAGGAGGAGTGTACCTAGATCCGTATGTGTCAGTGATGGTCAGCGAGAGAGCACAGAAGGTGGAGGTGGAGCAGCAGAAGTGGCATGGTGGCGGTTGGTTGAGCCCTGAGTCGGGTTGATCCTCGTGCTGTTGTTTGGATCTACGAGCAGTCTTCAGCAAGCCTAGCACCTTTTGAGCACCCTTTGCCGTCTGAATTACTCCTCCGGCTTGGCTGGCTGGGGCCCAAAGGCGTTTTACTTCTGGCACATGCTTGACCCCGTTTTGCTCTTGCTAGAAGGACGTCTGATGGGTAACCCACCCCAGGTAAGCCACGGACCCAAGGCGCAGTCATACACATGCAAGTTTTTAAGGATCAACTGCAGACGTTGAGGAGGAGGTTGAAAGGGATCACCCAGGGTGCAGGGAAGGTCCTCTACCCAAGAAGCGGGGGTTAAGATGCGGGTGGGGGAGGGTGCGGAAGGAATAAGCCGACGTTCGCACTTCCAGCTTTTTCAGGTTCCCTGCCTCTCCCCTCCTCCTTTCTGTCCTCCCCGAGCCGCAGGTGTCATTAGTGCCCTAAATCGCGACATCCGGAGCCCCCTCGGCACCACCATACCAGGCGGCATTCAAACAGGTCCGCGGACCCGGCAGTGAACGAGCGCATGCCCGAAATGCCCGGCAGTGACCGGGTTTAGTTGGCAGGTTGCGTCGGCAGGTCACCCCTTAAGAAATGGACTGATGCCCGGGCGTGTAGTCGTGGCCAGTTGGTCTCTGTAGATGACGGTGGGGCTGGAGGGGGGGGGGCCTCCTGGTGTTGGGATGGGCCGTACACCTCCAGCTGCAGCGCCTGGTTCTTCTCCGCCTTTGCTGGGCTTTATGGATTGATTGCTGGTACATAGGGTTTCACACGGCCTTGAAGTGTGCGGGATATCCCCGGTCCCCCAAATCCCATTGGTTACAGACCTGGATCTGGATCTGGATCTCAACGTCTTGTTCTTGCGTTGCTCCAGTGTGCGGATGCCTTTGACTTTCGCATGGTTGCTGTTGCTGCGGCTGTTGTTGCTGCCACACGTGCCCTAGATGCCAGCATCAACCCGGGCAACAGCGGTGGACCCCTGTTGGACTCTTCCGGGCGAGTCATTGGAGTCAACACCGCCATCTTCACACCCACAGGCAGCTCCAGCGGGGTTGCATTCGCCATCCCGGTTGACATGGTGGGTGGATGCTCCGGACTGGGCGGAGATGGGACGGGATGGGATGGGAGATGGGGGATGGGAGATGGGGGATGGGAGATGGGGGATGGGGGATGGGATGGGATGGGCAAGAAATACTGTACATGGGCAGACGAGCATGAAGAGAAGGATGGGATCGTGCATCGCCCGCAAACGAGCCGTATTTACTGCCCGCTGTAATGCCGCAAAATCTGGCGTGTGGGGGCTGTAAAAGTGGGCTGACAGGGTCAGGAGTGGGGAAAGCTCCATCCAAGCAGCGTCATGGCTTTCTTCTTTGTTCTTACAAATCCGCAGTGCAGACAAATCCAGGGCATGACGGAACCCCTTCGCCTCGTCAGCCCCATGCCAACCTCCCAGTGCGACGCGGTAACGTCCGGGGGGTGGCCCTGTGCGCTTCTTCCCCCTCCCCAGGTGAAGCGGGTGGTTCCTCAGCTCATTCAAAACGGCAAGGTGGTGCGGCCCAGCCTGGATGCGCAGGTGGGTGGCTGGGCTGGGCAAGAGTAGGGTAAGTAAGGCCAAGGAGAGCGAACATACGCAGGGGCTGATGGGTGTGGATCTAGATTCCAGGTTGGATCCAGGCAGGTGGGCCCGTTGGTGCCAGTGTGGAATTTACCAGGGAGAAGCGGCTTGACCTCCTACTCCGGCTTCTGCTCTGGGTACGAGCGGGAGGCAGGGGAGCGTTGACACCTTTCCACAACACGGCCAATGATTGGGGGCCTCTGGCAGTCGTGGTGATTGTGGTGGTGAGCCACATCGCGTGCTTCATGTCAGCCTGGCTATGCGGTATTGGCGACAATGCACTCCTCACCACTGTCCGCCCCTGCTTTCGGCCGCCATGCGGGTGGGCCCGGCTGAGACAGGACGCGCCCCTTACCCACGCGGTGGCGTCCTTCCCCCGCCAAACTAATCTAACACTCAGCATTCTGCGTTCTGCCGCTCGGCCGACTGGTCTTTTGCAGATCGCCTCCGACAGCGTGGCTCAACGACTCAAGGTGGGGCGTGGGGCGCTCATTCAGGCGGTCAGCTCGGGAGGTGCGGCGGACAAGGCGGGGCTGCTGCCCACGCGGCGCGGCCTCTCAGGAATCATCACCGGTGAGTGCGTGCGTGCGTGCGTGAGGACACAAGCATACGACGCATAGACACAATTTTAAAACGACGATTAGGTCTTGGCCTGCTTTCCTGTCTTCCTGGTTCGCCTGTACTGGTGGTGCACCTTCCCGCGGCCACGGAATGAGCCCATGTAGTGGGCGTGGGTAGGCGAACGTGCATCTTCTCGTGCTGCCTGCCAGCTTTTCAGAGTCTTTCCTCGCGAATGTTTGGTGTCCATGCATGTGGGTTTCCTTTGCCGAGCTCCTTGCCCCTGTCGCCGTTCCTGTCCCTGCCACACGCGTTGTCCCGCAGGTGACGTCATCCAGGCGGTCAACGGTCGCCCAGTCAACAGCGGCGGCGACCTGCTGGTGGCGCTGGACGGTCTCGCAGCCGGGGACACCGCAAAGGTGAAGGTGATTCGGAGCACTGACCAGGTGAGGTCGGTGGTGTACTGGCTGTGGGGTGCTGGAGGGTTGTGGAGGCAAGGGTGGGGGATGAAAAGGAAAGAGGCGGCCATGCGCCTGTGTAGTTGGGGAGGGGTTGTTGCATGCAGCTGTTTGTCTGCGAGTGAGGGGAAGAGAGGGCCTAGCAGATGCGTTGAGGGCGGTCTGGCCGCGTCTGGGTGCTCCACATCACTCCAAGAGAGAGGGTGTACAGCTGAAAAAAGTTCCTCCTATAGCTCCCGATGCAGCCTGGCTCTAACGCACCCCCCCGGCCCCCGTATCGTCTCCACCCTGGCCCTCCCTCCGACACGCGCCTTCCCATGTGGCTGGCTTCGGGTCTGTCTCCCAGGGGTTGCAAGAGCTGGAACTGTCTATCGTTCTTGGCGAGGAGAAGTAGTGCTGGCGGCAAGTATGTATGTATGCCAAGTATGTGCAGAAGCCGCAATGCGTGACGTGAGAGGGGTTCGGGTGGATGAGCAGTAGGGCATTCACAATTAGTAAATTATTTTTGCCGCCATTGCTATCGCTATTGCTATCGCTGTCGCCGGCTTATGTAGCTGTATGCTGTCGCGCTTGGGGCCTGGGTTCCGGCACAAATTACCTATTGGCGCGCCTTTAGGGGAACTAAAGGGGAAGAAGACAACATGAGCCTATTTGGGCGCGAGTTCCCCAGTGAATGGGGGATTCCAAGGAGGAGCACCTGGCAGATGTACGCGGCGCCGTACTTCCGTAGTGACCTCGGTTGGGGCGCGTCGGAGATCCTTACACGACTAATTTTTCAGCGAGTACATTGCGTGATGGCGTGTGCCGCCGCTTTTTTAACGGTGGCGGGGAGAATGGTGTGATCCTGGGGGTGTTGCTGTTGCTTCGGTATATTGTATTCAACGGTTCTTCGGCTGTGGTATGGTAGTGTTGCTGTTTGATCCGACGTCCTGTGACGCGGTAGTTATGGCGGATCTGCAGTACCAGGTGGGCTAGAGCCGCATTTGTTGCCCTATTGCGGCAGGTTGCCTCGCTCCGACATGGCGGGTCGGCTCGGTTCGAAGCCATGCGGGCAGGTAGCTTGAGCTGTGTGAAGTGCATGGCTATGCTTTCTCGATTTTTCAGGCGGCAGGGTCTGCATGAATGTGCAGGCTGGCAGTGCTTCCCTAGAGCCTGCATTTTGTACCTAGCACTGAGCGTCACCCAAGCGCCTTAGGTGATAGACGGTTCCAACGGGTACCAAGCAACGTATGTAAACGGCTCTTGAATTACCTATTGAACGTCCTCCCCACACCGCCAAAGCAAGTGCGGTAATGATATTTCCGAGCGACCATGCGGAGTGGGGAGTTTAAGGGAAATCGACAGTCCTGGCGCGAGTCCCTTTAACGTCGTGGACAAGTCTTGCCTACCCGGACTCTCCAAAGATGGGTCGGCTGGGGCGAGGACGGCAGTTGCTTATGACGCAGGACACACGTCTCGTCGCCCTCTGGCAGAAGCGCAGACAGTACCTAATCAGCGACACAGTGGAGCAAATGTGTGAGTTACATCTTGAGTTGCGCTTCCCTCCTAAGGCGTAATGGGCCTATACAAGAAGAGCCGAAGCCTGTCCGAACAGCCCGAGGAAATGAACCGAATCAATCAGCCACCAAACCACCAAAGCAGCTACTCACGTATGTGTGTGTCTCGGGCAGCGTAAGAGAACCGAGCGTAGCACTGGCAAGCTTCGTCAGCCGCCACACGGCACAAGTCCCCGATGTGCACCGACAACTGGCCTGGTGCCATTCAGGCAGCAGCAAGTTGTGTTACACTGGCTGGCAGACGAATACTGTCCATCCATCCACGCATGCGAACAGACAAACACCGTGTGTGGGTTACACACGCAGGGTATGCAACCAACCTAAGGCTTGAAGCCCCCGTCTGCAACACACTGCCACTGCAGGCACGTTGCAAGTTCTTCCCAGATTGCAGCAGCAACTGCGCCCGCACATCCAGGGGAGAAATGCAAACCGCGAGGGCACCACGACTTAGGAAAATCTGTGATAAATTCAAGCGGATAATATACAAACAGGAAGTAGGTACAACCTGGTGCTTACGACGCATGCAGGTCTGTAGCTGTACAACAAATAAGCTCAATGTACATGTCTAAAGAATTAAGGAGCTAAGAGCTAATAGAACTTGTACTGTACAGCAGGATCCATCGGAACAACCCGCCATGGAACCGCCACTATCGGACTAATCAATTCACCTCTACAACACCACCGACACGCCGAGGAAACCAAACAGTCACAGACAAGGTGCAGCAGCTTCGCACAATCGTCCAACCAATACACAAAAACTGTCTCACAGCCTGCATGCCGAGTTTTTTGAACCCCAAGTTCCAAGCCCAACGGCGTCGGCATCTTTCATCGTCGCGCAATACCGTCTACAAAGCAACATGTCAAGCCCCCCCTGAGCATGCTGCCTCACCCGCACCAAGAGCTGTGGTCTGCCCTGCCGGGCCCTGCAGGGCCCTACGCTGTACTGTGCACTACACGAAACTACTATACAAGCAGCCGCTCCTCCAATCCAGCTCTCCTTCCACGTCAATGGCTCTATCGCTTTCCGCAAACCGGAACCAGGCCAGGCCGCACCTCGCCCGGCCTGGCACACGGAAAGCCATCCACGTCCTCTACTAGCGAGAATACAACACTTTCTGCACCGCATTGCACCATACGACAGCATAAAATCAAAACGACCCCGAGGCCCCATAGCAGCCGCTTGCAAGCCTAAATGTCTGCTATGACGGAATTGATTTCCATCTCTAGCTTCTTGTAAGCCACTGGTTTGTACCAAGCAGCATGCACACACACCTCTCCCTGCTATCCACTAACTTTTCCGTCTCATACGTATACTTCCCCCGGGAACCTCCGTTCCCCCTCGCCTGATGCAACCTGGCCCAGGCTCGGGGCAGGCTGCCGTTTCTATCTCTCCGTCCTACAGCACAGAAGCATAAAACGGCTGCTGCCACCTACAACTATTTGAGCTTTCTCACGCCATCGACGGGTCGCCCCGCAGCGAGTCGGGCAGAGCCATTGCGGCCGCATAGTCCTGCAGCGGCTGCGTCCCCGACTCGAAGCTATCGAGGCAAAAGTACCGGTTCTGGTACCCGTCCTTGTAGGACATTCGCGGCAGGGGCCGGAAGGGATCCAGCGGCTGCAGCTCAGCCACCCCGGACGCCATGTGGGCCAGCTCACCAAAGCTAGATAGGATGCCTGTGGGGGAGGGGGGGGGGAAAGACGAACCACAAACGAGTGAAGCTGCTGCCAGGGCAAGAGTGTACCAGAGAAGGGGGGGAGAGGAAGCAGCGGGTCGTGGGGTAGCAAGCAAGGGGAGAAAGGAGGTAAGTGTGTAACGATGGTGGGCCCGCTGTCGGAATCGGAATCAGTGCCGGAGCTATGACAGTTTTTGTTAGACTAGGGTTGCTGCCCTTCCCGCATCCATCCATGTTGCTGCGTGACCGCAATGCCAGTCCACTCAGGTCTCCGGTCTCGCTTTCCTTTAAACAGCTCCGCCGACCACCCGGCGAGTCAACCCCTGCTCCAATTCCATTGGGCCGCAGCTCACCACCGTTACTGATGGGTCGTGATGGCAGGTGGATTGTCAGGTAGGACCTCCAGTAGCTTGTGAACAACTGCACATTTCACTTCCCTGCGTTCCCTCCAATCCCGCCCCACCTCACCTGCTCCAAAGGCCTTGATGCTGCCCCCCTCCCGCACCACCCCGAACTCCACTGTGTACCAGTAAACCTTGGTCAGGTGCCAGATAGTCTTATCGTCGGCTCCAAGGGAGGCGGCGCCAATGGCCTGCACCAGCCGGCAGAAGGCAGGGTCGGCCAGCATCGGCACGTGACCTGCGGCATAACAGCATGGGCATAAAGGCAACAGAGGATAGGGCTATCTTAAATCAGAACCTAAAGAAAAAGATCACCGCTTCACCGGTGCTTGTTGTATAGGTTAGCCGTGAGGGAAGGTCAAAAGCCCAACTCGACGCCCGTACCATCCTCATCCGTGTCGCTACGACCCCCTCAGTGTCTCTCAGCCTGTGTCGGTATATCTGTATGTCTTGCGGCGCCAGCCGACTACCCACCTACATACCTACCTATGAGCTCGTGCACCACATCCGGCTCCGGCGTGTAGCTGGGCTTGCTGGGGTGGCGCATGTACTGCAAACAATGAATTGCACGCAGCAAGAACGACACGATTGAGCAAACGAAACCAGAACGCCGAAGCGGAATGGCTGGAGCCAAGGCCCGCACCGACCCTAATGCAGTATCCAACTTTCAACTTCGTGCTCTTGACATACACATGTTTGATCAGGAAGGGCTTTGTAAATCTGTGCCAACGACAGGCCGTTGTTGAGGCTAGCTACTGGGCAGGCCTGGCATCTTCATCGCCTAGACTGCCAGCTCTGAGCAGAGGTGCCTGGCCCAGCACAGCAGCACTGTGCGGCACAGCGCACAGCACTTGACACCCCCGGCGAGGTGCACGTCGCGTGCAGCATGCCCTACCCATCCGGACATCCTCGGGACGTGCAAACCTGTGTTGAATGGAAGTGCCTGTGCGGGCAGGAACAGATGGGGGCAGCACCGAGGAAGGGAACCACATGCTCATAGATGCATTTGTTTGTCTGCCTGCCTGCCGGCCAGGTCATCAAGTCATGGCCGCCGGCTGTCACGGTCAGTGTTTATCGTTCAGGGTTCGACACCCCGTACGGGGCCCGTAAGTTTTTGGCCTTTTTTCGGTATCCCCGTCAGGGCCCGTAGGCCCGGTGGCTCCCGTAAGGATTTTGGGGCGCGAAGCGCCCCGTACGGGGCCGCCCCCGGACCGGCCGAAGGCCGGTTACGGTGGCTCCCGTAAGGATTTTAAGGATTTATAAGAGGCCGTACGGGGCCCGTAAAGTCCCCCGTAGGGGAGAGGACGGACCATATAAAGGATAAGGCCACACACTTGGCAGACATAATTCATATTGCACTACACTTTTGATAATACTTTTATAACTTCTGGTCTGTAACATCCAGCGATGGCAGACAATGAGTCGTCAGGAGGTGACCAAGGGCCTCCTAAGCCACCGCCCTCCAAGAAGGGCGCCACCTTGGGTCAAGGCGCTTGGCTTTCGCTGAGTGTGCCGTGTCCCCGAGTGTAATGGTTCACGAGAAAATAACGAAAATAACGATTTACAGGGCAAAAAAATGCAAAGCGTCACTTTCCACAGCGTTTCAGCCAAGGACAGTGCCCCCGTAAAGGTTTTGCGGGGGTTACGGGGCCCCCGTAAGGTTTTCGGCCGGTACAGGAGCCTGGTACGGGGGCCCCTCCGTAAGGAAAATTTGGGAGGTACGGGGGAGCCCGCAAGTTTCAGGAAAGTCAGTGTCGAACCCTGCTATCGTTTCTTTCAGAAGAAGAGGGCCTGACTGCCGCTTTGGCGCGTAATAGGAACTCGGTGACGCCAACTGCTGGAACCTATGGGGGGGGTGCCAGGTGACAGGCCCGTATACTCACTTGAAGGCTAGGCCCGCGAGGAAGTGGCGCGGGTGCATAAGGCCCGCCACTGGTCGAATATTCCAGCCCGTGGTGGACCGAAGAACTCGGTTCATCTCCTCAAGCTGCGGAACCTGCGGCACGTGGCCGCAGACGCATGTACACGCATACAAACAGGGCCAGCGCGTTATCACTGGGTATCATGCTGCACAGGAGAAGAGCCAAATTAACACATCCAACAGCATGTCGATTGGCCAACTGATAGGCAGCCGTGGGCGCGTCGCCAAAACCCTTGGGGTCTGCGTTCTGCGGCGACGGCCTGGGTTAGTAGGTATAGCAGACGCCGAACAAAAACCCAACTGGTGAGACGCGCTCCGCTCAGTCGTCCCATATGGCACTTAGCCCATTCCCCCTTTTAACCTTACCCCAGGAAAGACGTCTTTCGCAGTATGAGAACTTATGTAACGCTGCGAAATACAGGGTGACAGACGCTGTCGCATTGCCGCAGCTTACACGGTCTTCACCCAACGCTGCCCACCTTGCCGGGCCGAAAATTAAAAAGTGGCAAGCAGCGCAAATATTCCTTGCAGGCATGGCGCGGCAGGAGATCCTGCAGTTGCTCTAGCACTATGTTCCAGGTGGCCACTTCCTCGGCGGTGTAGACCACGTCCGGAATAGACGTGCCACTGCAAGCGACCCGAGAAACGCAGCAACCGTTTACGTGTAGAGGAGTCGTGTATTGAAAATGCGACTTGTCATGCAGAAATGGTTCCCTGAGCGCAACTGTGCGTTGGCGGGAACGCACACTCACATGACGTGCTGCTTTGCCGCTTCTGCCAACATCGTTCGCCGGACTTTGTAGGCCTCATCATGGTAGCCTGGGTGGTCGTCCGCAAGGTCTGCGCCGAAGCCCAGTATCTGCTCGGCAGCACCGCAAGTCCTGTTATGAAGACGAAAAGCCGCATTTCCTGTGTTGCAAGCCTGTCCCTACGCACCTGACCATTGTCAACGTCGTTGATGCTACGTATAACTGGGACCTCGGCCAAAGTTCGCTGCGTGTCTTTGCCTGCGAAGGGAGGTCCTTTTTTGACAACCCTAACCGATGACCCTCGCAGAAACAACGAACGACACCTACCCGAAGCAGCATTTCGTTCATGCGCGACTAGTTGAGGCTGTAAATGAGAGCGATGGGTACAAAACTTGAAATTGCTTGGTCGCGAAGAAGCCCGGCTGCCATAGCGAGTCCCAAAATGCGGTCGACTAGGATTACCGAGGATGCCGGGATACATTATAGCAGTATACAACGTCCGTTAAAGGCACCTACAAGTTGCCGGAATTATTTAGTTCTCCGGTTGGTTATTGGTACAGCAAAGTCAGACGGAGCAGTAATACGGGATTATCACGGCGAGCGATCGAAGTCGAAACGGAGAAATTATGGTACCACTCAGGGTCTAGAGCGTAAAGAAGCGACAATTAGTTCTGTTAACGCCGTATGTCTTTGCCTTTTGTACATTAAGGAAAAACGCAGTTATCAACGAAATGTTAACATACACGCCAGAAGGCGGCGTTGCAGCGAAAACAACGCCTAAAAATCGTGCCGTTTTACGTCAGCTCTGCGTCACCTGCTGCCGGTACGACACCCTAGCCTCGGAGTTCGTTGAAACAAGTAACACCCTAGAATGCCCACACCTGCATCAGAAAACCCTATAATACGTCATTGAAGTTACCTACATCGTAGTGAGCAGAAAGGTGAAAGGTGACCACGCAGATACCTTTGCTTCCCTGCCGGCCTAAAAGTACTCCTAGCATGGCAGGCACCTGCGTCCCTCACGATGCAGGCCACACATCAAATCAACGCCCAAACGGCAAACCATAGCAAACCGGTGCAGCGCCAATCAGATGCGTAAGCTTGCATGCGCTACGGCTGCGCGTCACTGCCAGACCGAGCGGCTCGCTGGGCCCCACGTCCGAGCAAGGCCGCTCACGCTTGGCCCCACCAGCCATGCCGCATTTGCTGCCGGTCGAGGCCGATGGCGTCGAGGCAGTGCAACCAAGCCAGGAGTGCATTAACGCCTGGGCGTAGCGGTCGATGTCCCGATCCGTAACGTCCCACAGGTTCGCGACCAGCGCAGGGCAACCTGGGCAAGAGAAATTTGCATTGCTCAGGAAACAATACGCGCCACAGGGAAATCTCAATTACCCCTGGCCCCTGCAGCCGTTGAGCATGATCAACCAGCTATACGGTTCGACATTTCGTTACAAAACTCCCGAGGTCATACGCACCTGCAAGCAAATACGCCACGGCTGCACCGGATGGGTCATATGCCCCGTGCAAACGGAGCCGCCCGCTGCTGCAGCCCATCAGCATGCAGCTCGCACATCGCTGCAGTTTGCGCAGTGCGGGCAGGGGTAGATACTGTTCGCCACTACCGTGGCCGAAGTACAGGAACAGCTCGTGCGACTGCAGTGCGGTGAGGAGCGCCTGGGTGCTTGGCCGCTCGCCTGTGATACCCTGTAATACCGGACCACCACCATAGCAGAAAACACAGGCAGCTTAAATGGAAAATGGGAGGTTGTGGGAAAATGGAAGGAGAGGACGTTTTTGTTCTGGGGATGTGGCTAGTAAGGCGTTGGACTGCCTGACGTGTTGGAGCCCAGCATCCAAAGACCTTTGCAAGCATCACGTGATAAAGCGGACCCACCTTCCAATGGGCTTGCGCCTCGAGGATGGGCTGAAGAAATTGCTGGGACTCGACCAGGTCGCTGCTTGGGTTGAGCACATAGAAAACGGACGTTGCAGACCCGCTCGTACCAGCTACAGTCATGCCACGGCTGCCGCAGTGCCTCAATGCTGCAACCCGCCCATCTAGATCACTTGATATGTTCACATGTTGCATCTCGGTTCGTGCTGATGCCGTTGCACATGCAACTTGTAAGCTAAGAATGCGGTAGAGCTCCTTGCCATGGCAGCAGGGAATGCTTTCCCAGGGGAGAGCGTGTAGCGCAGGGCTGAGCACCAAGAGCACTGGCCCAGCGGCTGGCTGCACCGTTCCTGCCAGCTCCGACTTTGAACCTTGTGGTGTGCCGCTGCTGGGTTCCGTTGTCGATGGTGTCCTGGCTATGCCATGTGCAGTATCCACTTTACTGCACTCCGAAGGCTGATCCTCGGTCACGGTCACAGTGCCTCCACGAGAGCGAGTCGTTAACCGTGTGCTGGCACCACGCCCAGTACACCTGGACGCAGTTGTCTGGCTGCTGCGATGTGCCGACCGCCGAATGGAAGATGGGTACAAGATGTCAGTGCGAGAGGTTCACAAGTTCAGGGTTCACAAGCTTTTCCTTACTGTAAAACTTCTGCCGACCCTCCTGTCCTGCCCATTTTCCTGTCTGCTTCCCTGCCCACCTCCTGCTTACTTTCCTGCCCACCCTCCTGACCAGAAAACGTCACAGTGGATGTATGAGTTCACAGTACTCCTCATACATATACCCGACATCGAGTTTTACCTCGACGAATTGACAAAAGAGATTGCCGCAGCAAATACTTGCCTGGCCGGCTCAGACTGCACTGACGTGGGGCGGGTCGCCCGCCTTGCCCGACCGTGTGCATCCAACCCGCCCACCGGCTGCGGTGGTGCGTTATCCGTGTCCACGGACTCCGAGCCCCCGCTGGAAGATCCTGGCCGCCGACTTAAGCCCAATCTGTGAGCAGCTGTTGTGTTGTGCAGTGACTCAAATGCCGCACCCGGCCGTGTGCGAGTCGTGGGGGCGGTTCCAATGCGACCCCGCGGCACTGTAGGACCACTCCCTGGCGACGGCTGTTCACACCGCGACTCATTCGTGCTAAATGGCATGGAGCCAGAGCTCTGTTCGTCGGGCGGCAGCTTCAAGAGCTGGACTCGTGCGGCAGCCTCAGCAGCTGCGAATTCCATCACTAGGCCAGTTGTTAAGGACTGGCCTCCATGAAGTCCAAGCTGGTTGCAGATAATACCTAGCAATGCGGCCAGGTCGCCACCCTTCATGTGGCGCATGCTTGACAATGCAATTATGACCAACTCCCGCAGGACTGCCGCAGGGCTGCCACAATGCCCCTCGCCGCTGCTGTGTACTGATGGGAAATGCTCGGCAATGAAGGCATCGGCGGCAGCCCGCCAGACCTCAAGGTGTGCGTTAGGAACTGACAAAAGGAGACACCGCCACGGCCCTAGGCACTGCTCATCAAGCTCCTGTAGAAGTCCCCTTACACCTTCATCTAGCGAAACGCGCGTCTGTGGCAGGATTGCATAATCACGCACATTAAGCAGGGATTCAGGAAAGGCGATGACAAGTCCTTAGCTAGGATAGGGCAGATTTTAGCTTGGCATTGAAGCTTGCCATGAACACGTGTAAGAAGCCAGCCGCACTCCCGCACCGAATCCCCAATGGCCTTGCATGTCAACAGCATGGGGGCGCGCTAGATGCTCATGGCACTTACCTTCCACCATTTAACTTTATGGCTCTGTGACGAAGCCGCGTCTTGGTCCATGTGCATGCTGTCGCCGCTCTCCTCAAGCAGCTGGTGCAGCCGAGCAACACAGCGGTCCAGAACGTGACTGGGAAGGCGTCCTGCAGCAGAGCACTCGGTTGGCTGTCGCCCAGAAACGCCAGCACGGGCGCCCGGCAAGACCGCCAACAAGGGCGCGCCACCATGGGTAAGGCGGCCCACAAGCAGCTGGCCACCTGTGTACGGTGAAGGGTCCAATAAGCATTAAGCAAACAAGCAAGGACGCCTAAGCGAGATGGTGCGACACAAAGCCAGACAGCAGAGGTAATCCTACGATCTTACCAATCGCACCTTGGGTGTCTTGGGTGATGCAGGAGACTACAACATCTGGCGGAAGGATACTAAGCGCCCGGTGTACCCACGTCTCCGCACAGTTCTCAAGGTACAGAAGGGTGTCAGTAATGCTGGCGTTTTTCAAGTGAATCTCCGAGAGCATCGACATGGCAACTTCACGGATGCCCGCTGTAAGGATGAACTCAGATTGCCCTGAGCTGCAGGCGATCCCATTGGCCTCCATATCTCCATTGTCCTGAGGGTTACGCTGCGTGCAGATGTCCAAATCAGTTGCATCTGGAAGCTGTCGGACAATCTGGGACGCAAAACGTCTGGACTCCTGCTGCAGAGCCTGCTCTTGAGCGTACGACATTCCCTGCCCTAGGTGCAGGAACATGGTTGCCGCGTAGGGCAGGCCCAGCGCAATAGCAGCATTCAAAAGCTGACGGCAGGCGTACACGGCAGCCAGCGGCAACTGCCAGCAGAGCTGCAAAGATTGGAGCAATGCAGGGACGCTCCAACATACGGCACCAGCATCGTCGAACGACGTAGCGCCGTCTGCTTGCCGCGCATCTTGCAGCCGCGGCTGACGCTTAGGAAGGCTTTTGGACGAGCCGCTGCTGGCGTTAGGCTTTCCACCTGCGGCATTGTCCAACATGTGCCTCTATAAGCACTAATGCAGCCAGATGCAGGAATCTTACTTATATGCGTCCACAAAAAGTGATGCTTTATAGGCACATAGATCTTACCCCTCTTTATTGACTGGTCAGCTCCTGATAACCTATCGGTCGTGTCTGATGTATCGCTGCTTGATGTCTGGTCTAAACCGTGCTTTGCAAGGCAGCTGTTGGGGCCGTTATGGCCCAGGCCCAGGCCCACGACTGACGCGCTGTCGCTGGCCAGCAAAGCGGCCGGTGACGTTGCAGTTGCCCGGTGCGCCAGCAGGAGCCCATAAGCCACCGGCCAGACTTCAGCAGCGCTGCGGCTGGAGCTCGTGGTTGCTGCCTGCTGGAGCTGAACCAACGCACTGTCCAGGAGTTGAGCCGCTTCTTGGCGGCGGCCATCCTGAAGCAAGGCCTCGGCACGCATCCTGTCGAGCTGAGCGCGTAGGCAAATGCCATGCCAAGCTAAGACATCACGGCGCATCGGAGCAGTCTTGGTGCAGCCCTGTTGGCATGCGCTTGCCAGGTCTTGTTGGGCTGCCGCCACGGCAATGCAGCATGCAGCCGTGCCCTTGTGGCTGGCATCATTAACCTGGTCATGGCATTGATGCAATAACGCGAGCCGCGCACGGGCTGAGCACACATGGGCAGTTAGCAATGCCGCGTCGGCCGCGTGCAGGTCACTTTTTGCGACGTGGACGTCGTACATGCTCATGGCCACATCTGCCGTTTCCACTTGTGCGGCTGCAGTTTCCGCATCGCCCCGCCGGCATGATAGCTCTGCCAAATAGCCACTGCACAGCAACTGCACGCCATTTGCACCAAAAAGCTCTGCTGTGCGACTGCATTCTTTCCAGAGGCAGATGGCGTCCTCAGCGCAGCCTGCCGCCTCAAACACGCGGGCCGCATTGTGCAGGGACGCAAGGTGCGCCGCCGCAACTGCCCATGCCAGACCGATGCTAAATCCACGGCTAGACCGCATTTCTAGAGCTCCATTTCCCGTGTTAGAGCTGGCAAACAGTACCGCGTCGTCATTAGCCTGCTGCTTTGCATTGCTTGGGTAGTCTTCCGCAGCATAATCCAGCACAGTCGTCGTAGCACCCGACTTGATGGCAGCTGCCGCCGCTTCAGCTGGCGTCATGTCGCACTGGTCCGTTGCGGTCGACGTAGCCGGCCCGCTGCCTCTGGCCGCAGCATTCTGGTAAGGAAGAGCTGGGCAATCGAGGAGGATGAACAGGCTACATGTGATGCGCAGTGCCTCCTGAGCCTGTACATAAGCGGACGCCGTTTTGCCCGCACGTAGGTAGGCGGCAGCTGCCAGCTGGCAGCACTGACTGCGCAACAGTAGCGACGCCGAACCATGGCGCAAAAAGCCGCTGTGCTCTAGCTCCATGGCACAGGACTCCGCGATGGCAGCAGCTGCAACATGGTCGGTCGCGCCGCTAGCGTAAATGTTCCTGCATCCGTCACCGACACGTCATGAGTACCGTGTGCGACAAATGCATCCGACAGGTTTAGTTTGCGTACCTGACCGGCTCCGTCATCTTTAGGACATCTGCTAGCTTTCTGTGCTGCTGCATATCCTCAAACGCCTCGGCGAGGGGTGCAGTTGGCTGGGCGGTAAATGTCCATGCCGTGCACGACGTGAACGGCATCGTTGATGACAGCAGGTAAATGTGTTGCTCACGAAGTTTCACCTGCGGTTAGTGACGATCCACGCACAAATAGCGTTGCTGCCCTCTTAAGATATTGCTGTGGACAGGGAGCATTCGGTGAAACTCACCTGGGAGTCCAGATTGGACATCAGCCGCCAGATGATTTCCCCGCTGTAGCTAGCCATCTTGCCATTGCGAAGGTGTACGAACTGCTGCACTTGTAGGGCTGCATGCAGCGTTGCCTGCGGCATCCTGAGCAGCAAACCCGCACCACTCCTGCCACATGCTTCCAGCAGCTGATTCCATAAAGATATTGCTCGGTTCATGTGATCCACTGCGTCAGTGTCGGCCTGCCGATGGACGCAAGGATGCGCTCAGGGCTGTGATACCGAACGAACGCGAAATGCACATCAGGATGCGCTGCAGCATGGCGCTTATATGCCGCCGCCGATCAAAGCCAGGCCCATTAATTAGGACGGTTCTCGTTGACTTAGGACACACTGCTGCGGTAGCAGGACGTCCTAGCTACGTACAGCTCCTCCCAACGAGTAGCAATCCCTCCTAAGATTCGTTCATAAATATGCACAGTGCACCTACCAGGCAACTGCGCCCAGACATTTGAGATTGCGCCAAGCATAAGCCAAGTTGCGCGTGCGCGAGCGCGGCGGAATCCAGCAGGCCCAGCTCAGCGGCGGGCAAGACCCCAGTTTTTGATATCTGAACTGCATGGGCGTCCAGAAGCTCGCAGCAGAAGCGCAGGTCGCACGTCTGCGCCTCAAGGGTAGCATTGGAAATCACTGCCTTAACTAGCAGCTCCCGCGCATGGGGGATCTGGCTGCTTCCAGCGGCGCTGGAGCATGCGTGCAAGGCACCTGAGCAGTGAAAGATGGGAAACCGAGCTGTAATGGCTTTTAACGAAAGGGAAAAAGAGTACGTACCAGACAAGCCATACGGTTGGGGCGAATCCTCACCTAGCACAGCATTGCTGTAAAGCGACTGGAGGCTATCCTCCTCACGGCGTTTGCTTTCGTCCCGCACCACTTCGAGCTCTTGTACAGCATACATGTCCAGGGCATTCAAAAGACCTGATCGTCCACCCCTTTCTCGAATGGCAGCCGCAGCCAGGAACTGCACCAAGGCTCGCGGCACCGCTGTTCCAGTCTTGGTCACCGCAATCAGCCTGCCGATGACCGCGTCGCTTGTGCTTGCAGGGCTTACGTCTCCCTGAGACGGCTGCCCAGGGGCATGAGAACCCTGCGACTGCGTGTTTGCTTGCATCCGCTGCAGGCGACCGCCGCGCCTTTGAGCTTTGCAGGGTGCCGCCGGTGCACCTGTAGTCCCCCCTCCGGAAGCTGTTAGAGGTGCAACGGCCATCGCTGCTGACGCTGAAGCGGCGTCAAAGGTCGCCAGGCTTGACTGCACGAACAGTTTCGTGATTGACCGGAAGAGATGGGCCCTGCCATCGACGAACTGCAAGGTTTCAAGCAATCGGTTTATGAGGCGAATTAACCTTTGAATTGAGCTTGCACAGGGCCACCTTGCAATGGCAGATGAGGTCACATTGAGCTCACCATATGCAAATGGGCCACGCAAGCTCCCGATGCTGCCATGGCATCCTCATGTAGCGAGAGCTGCTGAAGAGCCATGACGTGCGCCTTGCACTTCTTAATCAGCTGTAAGATGTCCGTCTCTGGGACCAGACTGCGCAGAGCTCGTAATTGACGCACACGCTCAAGGGCCAGGTCTGCTGCTGCCTGAAGCAAGACAGCTGCAGGTGCTGCATGCTGCGCCTGAAGCAGGTCAAGACCTATGAGGCGTAGACAAAGCCATCATCAGTAAAATGCGGTGAACGGGTTGCTCTCAGCTAGGCATACCTGCATTCCCGAGTGACGCTGACAAGCTGTGGAGGAGTGCAGGCTCAACACTGGCCGAACCACCATGCCGATAACGATGTTTAGGACTGGTAAGCAGCCGCTTAAGCAGCTCCACGTACCGAGACATGTCCTCGCGAAGGGCAGACAACTGGCCTGTGCAAAGAGCATGTGCTACTAGCAAACGCACGGCAGTCGTCACGGCTGAGGTACCGCTAGGAACCGCCTGCGTGCAGACGAACCGGTTAACTATTAATGCGATGCTGGAGCGCTGGCCTCCCCAAAGTCAGGGACTCACCACGTCAGCATCCGCAGAATCACCGTCTTCCAGAAGGTCCAAGCTGGCGCCGCAGAGAAGTTCCATGCATTGCGCAAGGACAGGTAAGTTCCCGCCTGGGCAATGTTGTTAACGTCGGAGCGGATAAAGTTAGAACGGTAATAATTGTTGTTGTGCTGTATGAACCGTAACCCGACCATGAACGAAACTGGGAACATCCTATAGTCTAACCTGCTGACTGAGGTGCGCTCAGCAGCTGCGTCAAATTGCCGGATACTGATACGCGCAGTCCGTCCAGGCAGCACCATTGCAGCCTACGGTTAGGTTGGCCCGATGCTCCAGAATCGACTGAAAAATTCGATACGACGGAACTTAATGAATTAAGGATAGCACAAAGCCGTTCATCGGGCACATCGCTGAGGCTGCAATGTGGCAACGCCAATGCTGAGTGCACCACGATTTCCAAAGGCTGTCCTCCATGCAACCTGCATGCGGCGAGGCACCTACAACCTCAGAGAGTTGTCCTTTAGGGATCGGCAGGCATACGGGTACGTTGAAACTGACCGATAGTCTACCGGCGGCGCAGGACCCGTCCGCTTCTGCCCAAGCCTCAAAATGAGTTGGTGAATCACGGGCACTAGATGCTCCGACAGTGACCCTGGTCCGCGGAAAACGTACGGGAGAGAAAGGAGCAGGGGGACTCATGTTTGATTCTTAGCGCAGGTCCAAAGCTCGAATCGAAGAACCCACCATCGGAAGTGATTAAGTGGAGCAGAGCCTCCGTCATCACAAGTTTTACCGTATCTGGTGCCGCTGCAGCATCATCCACAAGCATCTGCGGATGGGGTTTTAAGTTACATGCCTGCGGCGCCCGTGCATGTGGTGCTGCCTGGAAACCTAGATAGACAGTCGTACTTGCTGGACCGCCTGCTCCTGCCGGCATAAGGCGCCACAAGATGTCAGTGCACTCAGCTGCTGTGCAACTGCCGCCGGGCTTAGATTTCGTGCCACACATGCGTACTGCAGCGTCTCCACCACCTGTAACCACGGGGACACAAATAGTGGGTCTCGCATTTGGTGTTCTTATGCCCGAAAAGCTCGGATGCACTTGTAGGCCTAAGCTTCTGTGAATGAAACCCCTCACCTTGCTGAGGCATTTCAACACCACGTCAAGCCGATTCGCTGCTTCATGGGTGTCTACCGCCTCCCTGTGTGTGATAAATGGGCAAGCAGATGGTCACTCTTCTGTCGACTGTCCCCGTGCAGACACTTGCAGAAATTTTAGTCCAACCTGGCCAGAGAAAGCAAGCTGTCAACAGGACCGTGGATGTCCCTCCATAACGCTTCAGCCCGGCTCGCTCCCTGCTTCACCAGAGCTGAGTAACAGACAAGCAGGTTTGCCACAGCTGCGATATGGAGGTCGCTGGGGCCAGTTATGGTGCCTGGGCTCGTGGCCGCTGATGCGAGCAACACCTTTCCTTGCACCATCGCATGCTCATGAAGCCCATGCCCTGCCAGTTTCCGGACAAAGTTGTATCTCTGTATATCTAATTCATGCTGGGAAGTTTTGATCACCGGGCGCAGGCAGTCGAGAGCATTGAGGCCAAGTGACGCCGCGTCACCAAATACGAGCATAAGGTCGTGGCTGTGCTTTGAATCGGGAGAAAGGCGGCATCCCATGGACTTGAGGAGCGACGTCACAACAGAGCCGTGTGAGCGGGCGACTGGCCGCAAAGCTTCGGCATTAACCTTTCCAACCCGGCCCAAGTCCAGGAGCGGCTCCAGCAGCACGTTGATGTCAAGAAGAGCTAGCTTAAGTTTTTCTATATCGAGCTCTTCTGCTAGGATCGTCAGGGAGGCCTGGGCGTCCGCCATTCCCGTTTGGCTGTCACACCCTTCCACCGGCCTAACCGACTACAGTTCAGGAGTAGGTTTCATCCTAGAAGTAGAATAATGCAAACACGGGTAGTTGTCCTGTTATGATAAGGTGTTGCTAGCGTAGTTGTTTCGAGTGGTTTTCTCTGTAAGTCCGGATCCATGCTATTGTACGACAATAGAAACGTATTGAGCAAAAGTGGAAATATTGTAAGGACCTCCGTTGAATTAACTCTCTAAATAGAAACTGGACTGTAGGCATTTTTACAGACCATTTAAGCTTGGGTCACGGGCCGCGGGGCCAGGAACGCGATCATGTGTGCCTGCATGACAAAAGAAGCGCTACTAGAGATATGTAAACAAAACCAACTGTATCGGACGCCTTCCTTAAACGACAAGCTTTACTGCAACTTTAAGGGCTTTTCGCAAATTGCTTGCCTCGAAGACTACGTTAACCTAAAGGCCTTATTCCTGGAGGGCAACGTGCTGGAGAGTTTGGAGGGGCTACCGCCGTTGAAGGAACTTAAGTGCTTGTAGGTTGGGATTGGATCTCGCAGGATGCAGTACACAGCACTCACGTCACAGTCACGGCCCATTCCTGTTCCTCTTCGACATGCTGTAATGCTATCCCCCTTACAATGCCTCAGGTATGTGCAACAGAACTGTATCTATAAGATTACCAACCTGGAGGCTGTGGAGAACCTGGACACCCTTAACATCAGCAACAACCAACTAACCTGCTTAGAGGGGCTGTCGTGCTGCAAGAACCTTCGCACCCTTATAGCAACGCACAACCACCTGGCCACGCTGGAGTCGGTTGAGCACCTTGCAGAGTGCACATCATTGCAAACGCTAGATTTGCAGAACAACCAATTGTCAGATCCGGCTATCCTCGATATCCTCAAGCAGATCCCGGATCTGCGCTGCCTATACTTAAAAGGCAATCCAGTCGTCTCAAACATCCGGAATTATCGCAAGGTGATCATCACTAGCATTCCTACCCTAACATACCTCGACGACCGGCCAGTGTTCGACAATGAGCGCAAAGTCGCTGAGGCATGGTAAGCAGCAGGACAAGCGGACACGATGGCGCAAGTGGGCATTTCCTTTGAGAGGCACTAAGGCATGTGATAACCGTTACGGAGGCCGACGTTTGCTGATTTTGGATGGCCCGTCCATGGAACTGAGCAGACGAGGCAGCATCGCACAATATGCATCGCCGTACATATTAGTTTCCATAACGCATACAGGCATGCTGCTTTGTATGGCTGCGTCTGTCATAAGATGCTCGCTTATTTTTCAGGCTTGAGGGCGGCTTGGAAGCGGAGAGAGCCATGCGCAATAAGCTCAAGGAGGAGGAGGAGGAGCACAATCGCAAGAACCATGAGTTCATGATGCAAATGCGGGCACAGGGCTGGCGCGAGGTGAGTAACACGACTCCATGGCATAAGAGGCTCTCCACAAACTTCTCAAAGCCTCCCGGTAGCTGGTAAAAATTAGGGCAACCAAGCTTGTACCTATTTGTACCTATGCGCGTCGTGTATGTGTTCATGTTCCAGCGTCAGGGTCACGGCGCCCACCAACAAGGAACAGGAGGTAAAGATTAAAGTAGCAGTTATGCTCCTCAATGCGTCCATGTAGTGGCTGAAACCTTTTTCCTCCCGTACCCCTTCGTACGATGGGTACCCCAGCGGTATTGATGGCATAACGTCCTTCATCTTGTCCACGTGCGTTTCCATGAATAAAACTTGCATGTATGGCCATGGCGATACTGGTGCAATACCAGCGGCGAAAACGGCTTGGCCTTCCCGAGGGGGACACCGACCCAGCGTTAGATGATCTCAGTGACGGCGAGTACGAGTTTGCGGAAGATCCACCGGAACTGATTGAGGCGCGCCAGCGATTGGCAGCATACACTGCTCGGCCTGGCGAGGAGGAGCCCCCAGGTAGATCTTTGTCATCTGCTTTGCAGCTTGAGAAATATGTTCCCAGGTGCAGGCGGCATGCGATTCGACCCTGTTTGTATGCAATTAAACTTTTAATGTTGCACATTGGTTCCTAAGCGTCTGTTGGCAGCTGGCTAACATCCCGGAACCGCTGAACCTAACATACGCAGAGCTTTCGAGCCAGCGGCAGCAGCTCGCACGGGATGGAAAGGCCATTTCGGAGGGACAGTGGCATAGCAGAGTCGAGGAGGATGCCAAAGTGTACCTGGAATCTATAAAAGCTGCACAGGCGGAGCTGAACGTTGCAGGGCACTGCAAAAGCTCAGAATCGGATATTGTAGGGCTTGGCGAGGGGGGGACCACAAAGGTTCCCGTTGGCGCTGCAGTTGGCACTCCTGCGCTCAGTGATGATCAGGGGAATGGCATGGACACAGCTGACTTGGAAGAACTTGATTAGACGTGAATGTTAGCTACGCGCAGACTTCTTGACTGAACGGATGGACATCTTGCGTGACGACGAACGAGTGGAGTTGGTTCCAGAGCGTTTCCTAGGATGAGGGTGTGCAGCATAAGTTGTGACCATACTTTTCGGTGCGCTGACCGAGCATGCATACGTTACACTCGACCGAGCGACAGCAGGTGCAACTTGAAAGGACCCAGGCAATACGATGTACATCGTGCCACTCTAGTGACAGCATACAGGCAACACTGAGTTTGACTAGCAAATCAACCTGCACTTAATATATGACCTTGCCCAGAAAGGTAGCACGCCCTATCGCGCTCGATGGGCTAGCGTGCGGCTTATAGCGTCGTCGGCGTGTCGGTGCCTGCTAGCCGGTTCTCCTGCCAGACCTTGTCATTCTGGAAAGCAGGTACAGAATGCAATGGGAGTATTGGGGGCAGGAATATTGGCGGCGTGCGATGCAACAACTGAGGACCAAGATAGCATTGCAGCAACGCGGGTCTTGCCTTCGAGAGCTGGTGCCACATGTTGAGCGAGTTTTCAAACAACAGGCGGATCTTATTGCTTTCCGTGGCGCTGAGGTGGTTGAGCTTGACGGTGATGGGCCCGGAAACCTTCCTTAGCCCATCCAGGATCTTGCTGTTTCGCACTTTCTTAAGCTCCTCAATCAGGTCCTGGATCTGCATTGGTTTCGTGCGGTGCATGATGGGGGCCATGGTAGATTGGACAGGTAAAGGCCCATGTTGCTCAGGCCGCTCTTGCTTGTTGGTACTTAGCAGGCTGCTGGGGATAACAGGCGAACCCTCTTGTGCAACGCTTGCAGAAATGTAGCCCAGGGCACGATTCCGATAGTCAGACACATGTAATAAATCCATGTGCCATGCAACATGCGTGTCGCCTCCCGTTATTACGATCTGTACCAAGTAAGCAAGTAAGCCACGTACCTCGCATAGCTCACTGTTGCTGCCAAAGATCGCGCGCGCCTCGGTGAACAGCAATTTGCTGATCTCCACGTAGTACTGCGGCACCGGCTGGAAGTACTGCGGATGCGTCCGCTCCTCCTCTAGGGTTCCTTAAAAAAGCAGAGCGCAGGCGAAGGTAAATCGCTTACCGATGTGAAGGTTCTGCAGGTATTCTACGCAAACATTCGGTTCACTTCTCTCTTGCTGCCATGGAGGCAAGCTATCCGATAGCCTGGGGGCCCGTTTTCTCATCCACACCTTTAAGGTCCTCCTTGGCCATCCAGGCCGGCAGCTGGATGCGGCATTTTCCTCGCCGATACAATGACAGTGCTAGATATAAAGGCACCTTGATAGGTATGTTTGGACGAAATGGGCCGTACGTGCCCTGCGAAGTATGGTACACGCCGAACTGAGTGCTGAGCGTCAATGCCACATCAGTGCACGCTTGGAACATACCTCTATGCACGTGAGCATGCTGTTGGGAAGGTTAAGGGTGAAGTTGGGGATGATCTCAATCTTCTCATGCTCCGCGAAGAACTCAAGCTGCGCAAACACCGTGGAGTAGGAACTTTTAAGAGTCAATGCAGCGCCTTAACCCTCCCTACCTCTTCCGGGGTGAGGGGCGGCTCCTCTAGCTTCGCCGCAATGTACTCGAATAGGGACACGGTGGGCATCTTGCCTCTGAAGGTTAAAACCGCCTTACTGTCTCTCTTCGCGAGATACACCTACTCACTCGCGTCTTGGACACTATAGTTGGGTTAACATCATCAGCTGAACTATGCCTGCGAGACTCAGTCCGCTCTTAAAGTTCTAGTTTCTGAAAGCCTGTCGCACTGATGTCGTTGCGATAAAGGAAACTGTGTAATTGCATTTAAAAAGTGTAAACGTCTCAAATGAGCTCGACCTAGGAATGTCGCATGCAATGGAAAGAGGGAACAGCAAAACAGGCTTTACCGCGCTGGGCTTCGGAGCCCGAAGGTACGAAGACCTAGTCTCAAGGAACATACCAAGTATGTATAGTCATGTGACATGCAGGGATCTATGAGGAGCCGTTTCTTGATAGAATGACGGGAGCGACAGTCCCTACAGAGCACATGACTCTATGACTGCTTGCACCTACGTTGCGTAACGAAACTTCCACTTTTCCAACCAGGCATACGTTAATTGATATCTTACCAAGATGGGACGGGTTGAGGTGAGAAGTTGAGCTGTGCCTCCACATCTATCGAACAGCGAGGATGAATGCGACCTTACTTCACGATTATGGTTCCACAGGCTGGGAGCAGAAAACATATCCCTTTGGATGCCTGGGAATCAAAACTCGCTGCTGTTCGGGTTCCAAAGGATGATATGAATAAGCTTATCATGAATTTCCTGGTAACCGAGGTAAGCAAGTAGTTAGTTGGGGCTCGCAGTGGGTGGCAAATTCTCCGCATGGGCCGCGGCAGACATCTTTGTTCGCAGGGGCACGCCACAACAGTAACCCAGACTTCTCGGCTGTGTGAATTTGCCTTGCTGTTGACGCTACGGCAGGGGTACGTTGAAGCGGCACGGATGTTTGCGAAGGAGAGTGGCACAGCGCCAGGTGTAAACCTAGACGCCATTACAGACCGCATGGAGGTTCGAAGAGCGCTCCAGAGTGGCGATGTGGAAGCGGCCGTGGCGCGCGTCAATGATTTGGACCCCGAGGTGCGCCGCCTGGCGGCACGTCACAGCATTATACCTTCTGTGCTCGAGTGTGCGGGCGACCTGCAATGTGTTCTCCAAACTTCAGAGCGGACAAATTTCAGGGACGACGTTCTCCTGTCGTACTAATCGCGCCCAAGCAACGGTCTTTGCAGCCGTATTGGCAAGCACTTGTGCAACGGTGTCTCATGTGACACGTGCGTACAGCACTGCATATGTGCCATAGCCACGTTAGGGGTGGAACGAACCTGTTCCGGTGTCGCACACATGACACCTGGGAGGATGCTGAACCCTGAGGCGATACAACCCTGAGCCGATACAATATCCTTTGCGGGCCGTGAATGTGGTGGCTTATATTTTGTTTACCTCCCCACCTGGCAGATCTTGGAATCCCAGCCCAAGCTCTTTTTCCACCTCCAACAGCAGCGGCTCATAGAACTCATACGTGCCGGGAATGTGGAGTCTGCACTAGATTTTGCGCAAGAAAACTTGGCACCCCTGGCGGAGGAAAACGCGGAGTTCTTGGAAGAGCTAGGTGAGTGGTGCGTGATGTGAAACCGGCCTATTACATTGAATGGTACCAATACGGTACCTGAAGAGACAATGAGGGCTGTCGTAGGAAGGCCTCCATCAATTGCAAGTGAGTTGGGACTGGGCAACGGTTCGGTGAATTAGTTCACATTACGCTGCAGGCACCGCGAGCGAGGCTTCAACCCACTGACAGGACAATCCAGGATGGTTGCTCGGCACAGGGTGGCATTCAGACTGAGCCTTGCCGCCTGCCAACACTAGAGCGCATGTAGTAGTTGGCAGTGCAGGGGACCATTCCGTTGGTCCTGTGCTGTGATTGCACCGGTCCTGAGCAGAACACAAGTATTCAGCATTGGATTGATGCAGGGAGGTGGTCCAGGGCTTCTTGCCTTCTTGGCATGATTTGGCTTGGAGTTGCTGTGTATTTGCCACTGCCACTTTACCGTGAGAGTGCATCTGACGCTGCCGTGTAAACGTCACATCCACCACCAGAGCGGACCGTGGCACTTCTGGCGTTCGAGGACACCAACGCCAGCCCTGTCGGCGACCTCATGGACGTGGCACAGCGGCAAAAGACCGCCAGCGAGCTTAATGCGGCCATTCTGCAGAGCCAGGCACAGGAACGGGAACCCCGCCTGCCGCTGCTGCTGAAGCTGCTACTATGGGCGCAAGCGCAGCTAGATGAACGGGCGACGTATCCGCGCATAAACGACATCGTCACGGCACAGCTAGTGCCGCCGACGAAAGCCGAGTAGAGCGCCTGCAGGACGAGGGGGAGCTGCGGGGGCTGGGATTTGTAGTAGGGTAGGGATGGGGCCCAAACCCACGGCATTATGCAAGCATGGGAATGCGCGTGGTTTGCGAAGGCAGGTTGGCAAAAGGGCACGAGGTTGGGGTTGGGGCGGATGGACTGAGCAAGTTGTTTGAGGACGACTAGGGAGGTGTTGGAGGCCATAGGGTTTCCACGTCTGGCGCATGGCCGACAGTTGGTTCACAACCTTGTGGGTCACAAGCCGGTGTGGCTTCGCCATTGCTCACGGCCATGCCAGAACGCTGCAGGTGGATGTAGGCTGTGTGGAAAGGGCTGATGTGTAGATGGCGGTCTTGTGGATTGTTGTCGGTTCATTCCGTGGCGTTAAGTCTGTACCCTTATGATGCCGTTTGATGATCAGCTGCAACGCAAGCTGTATGGATGTTAGGTCTTCTGCTATCCAGTTTTCTATCCTTCAACTCGCCGTGCGGCAATCTACACTAGCATCAGCCTAGCAAGCTGCTGTTTGTTGTTTCCTATCTGCGTGTGATGGATTGCTCGTTGGACGCCTGAGATGCATTTGCCTGTCCGATCCAACGTCCGTGCACAGGGCGCACAGGGAATGGTCTGCAAGGGATGAAAACAGCCGCCACGGGCAGGACTGGGCTATTGAGGCGAAGTGCCGGGCCCAAATGTAATATCGGTCAGTCGCGGATGAGGGTGCTACGTTGCATGCTGCCTGCTGAGTTTTAAGCAGAATTATCCTGCCAGTTTCCTTTGGCGCTGTAGCCATCATGGGGGGTTTTCTCCGGCCCGGCTGTCGCTCACCGGATCGACGGATTATCGACGCAACGGCGGCTTTCTGCAGGACGCCGGCGCCATCGTCCCTTAGTCTTGCCCTCAGACCGGCAAATGGCGGAGCGACAGTGGGCGATGCTGATCGGGTACCACAGCACTCGCAATTCCGTTTTGCAATACACAGGCTTGCAAATGGTTCTGATAGATGTCGTAGGGCGTGTGCTGGCATCTAGGGCACACTAAGGCGGTCCACACCCGTTTGCGTTCCTTTCCTGTTCCAGGTGATGAGCAAGGTACCACGAGAAAGCGTGTCAGTAAATTTGTGGGAAGCCTCAACACACCAGTAGGACGGCTCCTGGCGGTTGAAATAAACATGACAACTCGAAGCGAAGTATGAGTGTAGAGATAGATAGGCAAGCTATTGCGAAGGAACTGCCGTGGTGCGTGGAAGCGGGGTGCATGCATACGACGCAGTACGGCAAGGGATGCAGAGACTCTATTTGGATCCCACAGGCGCATTGGTTCTTTAACTGCCGTTGTTTTGACTCTTACCAGGAGGTGTGTCGCGCTGCTGGGACAGTGACCTCTAGTTTTCCCTCCACCCATCCAGGCATTCCTAGATTGCCGCAATGCAGCGGTCCCTGGTTGTCGCTGGCCTCGGGTGGGTCGCTGGTATGGCTCTTTGGCCCTCGTCGGGGCGTTGAGGCCCTAAAGGTTTTACCGGTGCAACACAGGTAACTGTCATTACTATCGGCCACTAGTGCAACTTTCACAATGGGTTGGTGTTGAGACGGGGTTTCGCAAGCGGTTTTTTACTACCCAGCCAAGCTAGCGGTTGGTGACTTAGCTACTGTAACGCATCACGGCAGGACTGAGAAATAAGGGGGTCGGACCGTGTCAGGCTCCCTCTATTTGCAGACCATTTTGCAGTCCCCGAAACCGGACGATGATAAGGAACTGCACCCTCACCCTTACGGCCTAGTTTGTGCTCAATGGGATAGCGTCAGACTAACAATCCCATGCGGAGCCAGACCTGTACGGAAATTCGCGCGTCATCCTCAGCATGGCAACAAACCGAAGTACTTTTCTTTTGTCTTCAAAGGGTATAACTAGATGACTTTATTGCTAGCTAATTCAGCTGCGTCGTTCTTTTATGCATTCGCGCCATTATTGTTTATAAAATTTTGAGCTCTCTCGGCAAAGCTAGAGGACACCCAGGAGGTTATTTCTTCTTGCGATCCAGTGTTCTTATCAGGAATATTGTTCGCTGGGATCTACTAATTCGATAAGGGCCGGTCTCCCCGGCCCAGCCCAGGCCGGCTGCAATGGCTGAGGGCGTGCAGGCTTTTGGAGAGATCTGGCTGGGAAGCAGGGGTGGCGTGGTGAGGGGACTTGACTGACGCCGCACCCAGCTTGAATGTTAGCCGGCGCTAACGGAACACTTGACAACAGACTTCTTGTTCTGGCGCCTGCAGTCGTCGGGTCAATTAAAGTTAACTCCTGCTGGTTTCGTTTGGCGACGAAAGCAAGGCGGCAAAAACGTCGAGGTCAAGAAGGAGGAAGTTGAAGGTCTCTCGTGGACCAAGGTACCTAGGGGTTGCCAGCTGAGCGTGCGCCGTAAGGGTGCAACAACCTTAAACTTCCTTGGCTTCAGGGACAAGGTGCGTATGGGGCTGGGTGAGACCTTGCTGCCTTTTGTGTACGTCTAGGTGGAACCATAGAGGAAGCCTCAGCACTGCACATCAAGTCGGGGAACTGCTGCCGCCGCAATCTGATGAGAGCATGTTTTGTTTTGCGGGTGGTGCTACACGACAGACCTTTTCGCCCGTGGGAACGCATGCTGCAGCCAGGGTTTCGAACCTCGCCGCGCGTGCTTGAAGAGGCTCAGCATGCGTATGTTCCCCCATAGGGAGGTGTACGGCACAGGTGTACAGCACAAACCGAGCATATACAAGCGGACCGTAAAAGGATGTTGGGCACAGAGATTGGCGTCGTGGTTGTCACACCAGTATTACTAACCCTGTCTGGGGCTCCCTGGTATGTCCACACACCGGTTATGTCAACCCCCACTTCAGGACCTGGACGCCTTGCAGCATTATGCCCGTAATGCGCTTGATCACCCAGAAGGCATTTCAGAGGAGGCGCTCTCCACGTCAGGTCATAACTGGGGTGCTGTCCAGCTGCGTGGCGCGTCCCTGGCCTTTATGGTTGGCAGCAAGGTAGCATTTGAGCTGCCCTTGGCGGACGTGTGCACAGCACAGCAAATGAAGGTAAGTGGGCCAGGAAGCGAAGTCGGGGGGCGGAGAGGTTTGAAGTACCGTCGCTAGTGTCGTTTTCCGATTTGGCTTGGGAGTCGGGAAAGTTATCGCCTCATACACACCAAGTATTGCATTTTATTGCACGAAACTAATATGCAACATCTAGCCCACGACTTTGCCTTGTTTACTCAGTGGCACGCCAAATGGGGGCCCCCGGGCAGGATGACGTGATGCTGGAGCTGCATGTTGACGATACGGGTGGCGAGGTGGCAGAGGACATGCTGCAGGAGCTGGCATTCTACGTGCCGCCAGGAAACGAGGAATTCCCGGCTCGTGGGGAGGACGTGCCAGCCTCCAAGGTGCGGGCGAATATGAGGTTTGGGGGGGGGTGAGTCTGCCCATGTCCAGCGTTAGGATAACAACCTATTGAACCGGTAACAGATATCTGTAGCTGTACTGAGATACGATAGCCTGGCCACAAGCATGAGCTCACACTTTCGGCTGAAGGGACTCCAGCCAAGACATAAGCGTTCGTTCAGGGGAATGGAGTTGTTGCGGACCGGGGAGCAGAAGCGGGAGTGGCAAAGTGTCGTGCACTTTACCGCGCACCTAGTATGTCAAATATCCCTCTTGGCGCTCGCGTGCGTTGAGCGCAGGCTTTGTTGGATGCTCTTTTGCCCCATGCCGACACGGAGGCGGCTGCTGCGGACGAGCCCGTGTGCGTGTTCAGCGAGGTGGGCATCCTGGCGCCCCGCGGTCGCTTCGATATCGAGATGCATCTGGGCTACCTGCAACTGGGTGGGCAGGTAATTGGGGTGGAACTGGGTTTCACCTCAGTGTAGTCTTGGTGACAGAAAGGGAGTTAGAAATGGGAGGGTTGCGAGAGCTGTAGGGTGAGCGCGCGGGGCATTTGAGGGACTAATAGGGAACGGTGCGCAGGAGGTGTAATGTGGACGGGCGGGGGGTAAACACGTTGTTATCGAAATATGCAGGAAAGGACTTCTTGAAGTGCGTGCGTTGGCTCCTGGGTTAGGTATGTAATGTTCGACGGGAGGGTCGCGAAGTGGGGATATAGACGCTACGCATACGATGGAACCTAGGGATTTTGCTGCCTGGAGAATGGTTGTGGGAGGACGCGACCAGTCTTAAACTAGACAATCAAATTATTACCAGCTAAGGCATAAATCCAGCAATTCCGACGTGCGAACCCACAGTGAATGTAGTCCTTAAACCCCGCTATGTCTTCCGCTTCCTCACCGTGCCTGCCCTGCAGTCCCAAGACTTCAAGGTCCGTTACACCTCCATCCAGCGCATTTTCATCCTTCCGAAACAGAACACCCCGCACACGTTGGTGGTCATCTCGCTGGACCCGCCCATTCGCAAAGGCCAGGTCGGTGACGACGGTTACTGTGTTTCCTTTCAACATGTCATGTTATCCTTTGGCCGCGCCGTCGGCAAGGGGGTCGGCGGGGGGCGACATAACTCTATACACTTCGGGTGTGTGTTACTGCGGTAACCGGATAGGGGTGCTGCGCAGCTTGCATTCGTGAGGGTTTCCCGACTGCAACCTCGTTATCTGCTCCACGTACATCGTTGTTCATCCCTTTCGCACGGGTGTTGTTTTCCTTGCTGCACATGACGCACCCAAACACAACCGCCCCCGTGTGCTTCCCTGTCTGCCAGACCTACTACGCGCACCTGTTGTGCCAGTTCCCCACGGAGGACGACATCACCGTAGAGCTCGACATATCGGAGGAGGCGCTCGTTTCCAAGAACGAGAAGGTAAATCGGTGCCCAGCTACCAGCTAAGCAGCTTGTAACGTGACAGGGCGCCCTTCGTGCGTTCACTAGCATGGCACAATACACGAGGGTATTAGTAGTATGTTTTTGGCCACCCTGGAACCCACAGAATGGTGGCAAGCTGTCTTCAGAAATGTCTGGACCTGTGCACGAAGTATTCGCCAAGCTTCTGCGCGGATTGTCGGGAGCCCGCATCACCAAGCCGGGACATTTCCGCAACGCTGCCGGAGACGGCTTCTCAGTTCGCTGCTCCTACAAGGCGGACGATGGACAGGTGCGCGGCAGGGTTCGGACGTTTTGGGGTTATCTCTTAAGTGCAGGGGTCTGGGGCGTCCTGGGATGCGTTCCGTCGGAGTGGAATTCGATAGTCCCATGGCAAGGAATTTGCAAATTTTCATTGAGCGAATAAATGCGCCAACAAGATAACAATTCTGGGGCCTTTGGAATTTGTGCAGCTGTACCCGTTGGACCGCGGCTTCTTCTACGTCCATAAACCCCCGCTGCTCATCCCAGACAACGACATTGAGTCCGTGGAGTTTGCGCGCCAAGGCAGCGGTGCCGTGTCGTCTTCCGTGCGCACATTCGATCTGGTTATCCGGCTCAAGGGCGGCACTGAGCACATGTTCAGGTGGGTCGGTTGGCAGGGTACGTCACGACGAGGGGCAGCCTCATCAAGTCCCGCAAAGCTTCGTACGTCGAAGAGAGGTACACTCGTCGTTGATTAGGCTCATTCCAAGGTGCTTCATGTTTTTGTTGTAGCAGTGCTGTTAAACGTGTATACCGACATATTCAGATGGACATGGGCGTCCCCCTGTCACAGAAACATCCAGCGCTCTGAGTGGGGAAATCTATTCGAGTTTATCAACACGAAGAAGATTCCTATCGAGAATCTGGCTTCCGCCAAACGTGGCCCCGGTGGTGCGCACGCTGGTGTGGATGCGGAGGACGATATGGACCCAGGTAGGTGCCCATAGCGCTGCAACAAATGGCTCGTTAGCCCGGTTGGTTAGCCCGCGCACTGCGACGCTCGGGGAAGATGTCCCATTTATGCATGGTTTGCCTGAGATTAAAGGCAAACCGCCTAGCCCGTCATGGCAGATGCACAATACTTGCGAACTGGGTGCGTGAGGCATGTTGGTTGCGCTGCCGTTTCCAGTATTGCCTGCATTTCTGCGGAAGTGCGCACATGAAGGCATGTATCGCTCACGATGCCTTAGGTATGCGCCGCGCTGCTGCGGAGGCGGACTATGATGAGGATGACGAGGACGAGGACTTCGACGCCAGCGGAGGCAGCGAGAGTAGCGAGGACGAGGACGAAGACGGAGAGAGCGACGCGGAGATGATTGAGGAGGAAGGTGAGCGATGGAAGGACCTGCACAGATCCGGTCTCTACAACAGATGCTAATTAAGCATCATGTTGTTGGCACTTTTGTCAGGCGAGAAGGCTGTTGACGTATAGGGACTAAATTTTCTGTCTCAACGCAAGGTCATTCCTGCCACGAATCTTACGCAAGGCCTAAATTTTAATTGCAGGTGTCTCCGCAGACGCCTTCAAGGGCAAGGGCAAGAGGAAGGACAGCGGCGGCGATGCGGAAGAGAGGCCAGCAAAGAAGCCCGCGAAAGGTCCGTGCCCGGTGCTGTCATCTGGCAACGGTGTTGCTGTCTTATCGCTGGATGCAGCCTTTCGTGCGTTGCAGCCAAAGTGATGATCTGTGGACGGATTACGCTTCCATGTCCTTTCCATGCCTTCCCAGATTCGAACACTTTGGCAAGTAGCCAAATTCTGCTTTATCCTCCTATGTTTTGATAATCCTGTTCCGTGTGCAGAGAAAGCCCCGCCAAAGGTAGAGGCAGCGGGTGGCAGTGATGCTGCAGACGGCAAGGGAGCGGCCAAGGGTAAGGGCAAGGGGGCGGCCAAGGCCGATGGCGCGGAGGGTGCCAAGCCCAAGAAGGAGCGGAAGCCTAAGGATCCGAATGCGCCCAAGAAAAACCTCACAGGTTTTATGTACTTCTCCAACGCCAATCGTGAGAAGGTCAAGGCGGAGAATCCAGGTAAGGTTGAGTGGCATAAAGCAATCCTTTTTTTGTGCGAATTTAGGCATGTGTCCATGTGCCAGGCTGCGCCCAGCCCGGGGGATGGAAAAGGGGGCCAGAGGAATTTCCTGGCATAAGTTTAAATTCTAGGATTTTCGTGACACCACAATTTTAGACACCCCGCGTCTCTTACCATAAGAAGTCTAATTCACACTGCAAAATGTCGGCATTACTCGCATCTGACAACTTTGATGCGTAGGTATCGCCTTTGGCGAGATTGGCAAGATGCTGGGTGAGCGCTGGAAGGGCATGGGCGCGGATGAGAAGGCCCCTTACGAGCAGATGGCCGCAAAGGACAAGGTGAGGTACGCGGAGGCCATGAAAGCTTACAAGGAGAGGGGAGGTGCTGCGGCCGGCGGCAAGGATGGGGATGGAAGCGACGCTGGTGGAGACGACGAATAGAAAGGACTGGGCGAGCTTGCGCAGCGAACTTCTTCCCCCAGCTGGTGGGTGCCAGCGGCCGGCCAGAAGTTTCTTGTGACCGTCGCGTCCAGTTCCATTGACGATAATTAAAAGAAACAAGCGCATGTCTTTGCTAAGTGTGCTCGGCATCCGTCTGGTGACATCTAGAGTCTTGCTCGGGGTCGCGTTGTGGCGACATAGGTTCTAGTGGTGAAAGAATATGGGTTCAATGGTTGTCTAGATAGAATTTGGGGGCTGTGGAGGGACTTGCAGGAGTCGAAGCCTTCTGCTTCAGATGTTGACAAGGTTTTCTCTCAGGGCTTCTCTCAGCCAGTTCCCATTTCGGCTGTGGTCGGCAGTTAGCCTTGGGCTGCAGAATGATGGATAGGGTTCAGTTTGACGAATGAGATATGTTTATTGCTACTTAATGACCGACGCAGGGCGTAGGTAGAGGCATGGGAAAGCAATCAGTTGCATAGCGTCACGAACAAGGCTTGAGTTTTGGACGAAAGGTCGAAATTAATATCCAGATCGCGCATCTGCGAAAGCGGAAAGGCATGGGCTCGCGGCATCAACAGTAACCAGGCATGGCTCCCAGCCGCGACCCAATGGGTCTGCCTCAGCCCAGCCGCCAAACGCTGCTGCACAGCAGCGTGCCACCAATCAATTAAACTGCGCCGCAACCGCCTTGGAACAGCGATGCGAAGTGGAAGTCGGATCCAGCACCATGGCGGGCCCCGTGAAGACCAGCAGTTGCAGCAACGACGGTCCTGTAATCCATTTGGTCCGAACGCGGGTCGTACAATCCCACCTCCTTAACAGCACTCTAGCTTGCGTCTCGGTACGACGCCATGTGCCCCTCGGCCGACTGCTGCGAATGCCGCCACGCATCCTACTTGCGCCATCGGATTGCATGACATTCCCAATTATGCGCAAGGCCTCGCTGATACCGCCGTCGTTGGCCGCCACGCCGGCGGCAAAGGGATCTGTAGCTGCTGCCGCTGCCGTTACTGAGGTTGACTGCAGCATCGACGATGGAAGTTCAGCGGCGGGGCCTTCGCCGCCGTCAGCGCCTAAGATTGAGGATTTGGGAGCTTGTCGACAGTGTTCACCACGTATAGGCTCCGGGTTCAGCGGGATGTAACCTTGCGTGTCGTGGTATATTGGGTTAACAAGTAAGTTAGGCAAAGGGACCCTTTAATATATTCGATTGGGGCCAGTCGCCCGGAGGTATTGTGATGATGGCCCCCTTTCTTTTGAAACTTCCAAGGAACGTGGGCATCAACATCGGCATATGATAGCTACTGAACAATCAACAATCATAAACAATAAAACTTCCTTAACGTTATGGACCTCCCTGCACAATAATGCTCCTTTACACTTATGAGGTACTTTGGTAAGTACAGTTAAAAGAAGGGGAAGGTAGCGGCGGAAACGGTTGGTCACGCAGCATGTTGCTTAATGAGCTCCAATGCACAAATCTGCATTAAATAGCACAAGAAATTGACCGTTGGTTTTTGCATTGTCGTTGTCCTCTGCCTTCAGGGCATTGAGTAAATGTTTATTGTCGGTTTGGACGAGAGCTGTTGTGTTTGGCGTCCCTTACTGCAAGTTCATGACTACGTGCTTCACACAAAATGTGTAACTCTGGACCGCGAGCCATACTAGCCATTGAATGGGATTTGTTTCGGTACCTATCGGCTCCTGATCCTTTCCAATCATGTTAGATGTTCCACTTTGACCGATCAATAAACCGTCTCTTCATACATGTTAGTTGAAGTGGTATGAGATAAAATGCGCGATGGATAGGTGAGTTTACTTTAGCGAAGAACTTGGGGCTGCAGCTTCTAAAGCATTCTATTCGCGCACAGGACTGCAAAGTTATGGTCTGGCGTCGCCCGAAAATGGATCTTCAAGGTACACTTGTCACGCTTCGTGCTTCCCCTGCGGCAGCTGTATTACCAAACCCCATGTAGCTGCGCAGGTGGCGCTTGCCGCCTGGTGCTGCGGCTGCTTGCTCGCGGTGTCTTACTATGTCCCCATAGTAAACCGCATTGCGCGCGAACTACTGCTGCTCTACTTCCAGCCGTTGATTCCGGTGGTGACCGCGCTGTGGCTGTGGGGTCACAACGTACAGCGATTCCACGCACTGGGTATTGAGTACGAACTATGTTTCAGCGCGAAAGATAGAAAACTTCTTTTATCACATGGGGAGATTTATCAGGTGCGTTGGTACAAGAGTTTCGGTGTTATGAAATAAAAGTAATGCTGGTTCCGTAGCACGAAGCGGAATCCGCCGGCTCCACCAAACCCATCTACCCAAACCGCCCCCTAAACGCACTTCTCAACGCGCAAGTCAGCGCTTGCTTGTTACCATGGATAGTACCCCGCTCGGATCCCGCTGGCGCCCGATCAGATCGCCTTCTTCCTCACAATCATGTGCATCACCTGCGCCGCGGGGTTTGCGGCGCTCGCCGCGGCGGGCGCTATCGGCAGCGCAGAGTTAACTGCGGTGGTAATGTACTTCTTTGCGGTTCTGCTTTTGGTGGCGCCCCTGGACATCCTGGCGATGCCCGCCCGCCTGTTTTTTGGGCAGACCCTCCAGCGGGTGCTCCTGCCGTTTCAGGATGTCAGCTGGGCAGACTTTCTGTTGGCAGATATCATGACCTCCCTCAGTAAGAGTAGCGGAGACCTCGCGAAGACAGTGGCTGTGATGGTGACAGGTGAGAAACAAGCAGAGGAAAAAGCGGTTGAAAAGGTGGGCGACGTGAGTGAGCGAACGGGTGGATAATCGACTTCCGGCATAGTGGTGTATTTTGACAGTGTGGGCGCAGCCGTTCACAGGTCCCTAGTTTGTCTTAGCTGCCGGCACTAAGAGCATGGCTCCGTAGGACGCGTAACAAGCAAAGGGGCTACTAGCATCGTTCCACACTAGGTTCCCATTTGCGTATTCTACGGTCGGGAAGGTCCTGGAAAGGGCTGCACGCCATGCAGCAGTGCACCGAATAAACAGAAGTCCTTCGTCCAAAATATGACGCCCCACATGCACCCCTGACGAACCAAGCGTCGGGCATAAGTTTGATGGTCGTCCCCGAATAGGGCCAGCAGGCCCGGGCTTTCTTCATCAGTGGCGCCCCTGTTCCTCCCCTCGTTTTGTTACCGCAGGGCCCGCCTTGCATGTCCTGACTGCAGTGGACGCCACTGGGAAACAGCTGGTCAATCCCCTTGCACCGCCCGTGCTGCTGGCGATTTGCCTGCCGTACATCATCCGGTTCATACAGTGCATCATTGTAAACCGCGCGACGGGTAACCGCTCGCAGCTATTGAACGCCGCCAAGTACGCAACCGCTTTTCCAGCGCTGCTGCTAACGGCCTTCGAGCAAGTACACCATGTTAAGGGCGAATCGTACAGCCTGTACAAGTTGTGGATCTTCGCCATGCTGCTTAACTCGCTTTACTCCTTTTACTGGGATATTGAAATGGATTGGGACATGCCCTGGCTCGTACAATCGGGTGAGTATTGCGGACGTAGCGCGGAGTGAAGGAAGCATGGCGTGCTGCATCCGAGACCTCAATCAGCATCACGCTTAGACGTGCAAACTGTCTGGTCCACAGGCAGGATACTTACGCGGGTATAAGTTGTCTTGCTCTGTCGTTACAAATCGAGAAAGCGTCGGACAGGGGATACCGTGCCCCAGCTAGCCTTTGAGCGTTAGGGCCAAGCGCAACCGAGGCACGCTTTTTAGTCGCAGGCATCTCCCATCAGCTTTCCATGGAAAACTAACACCCCCCGAAACCTCCTCACTGCCACAGGAAGCACACATGTACTGGGGGTGCTGCGGCTGCCAAGCCTCAAGCCCGACGCAATGTATAGTCGTGGCTGGTATGTGTGGGCCATCATCTCCAACCTGGTATTGCGCCTGGCATGGACACACCGACTCATGGGCAATCTGGAAAAGTACACCACGGTGGCTCTGGTAATAGCTCTTTTAGAAGTATTTCGCCGATATCAATGGACGTACATCCGAATTGAAACGGAGCTACGGAAGATACGATTAAGCAGTGCACATGCGCACTCAGCAGACTAAGTTTTACGGTTATGCGTGAATAAAACTGTGGTCGGCAGGGCTTGATGGTATTCTTTGGTATACCTAGTCCTTGGTATCCTTTGATCCAGCTAGAAGGATGGGCCATGCGTGGGTATTGCATATGACGTAACGTAACTTCATTTCATCGCAGCGCGCCAGGATTGCATTCCTGGATGGCAATCCTTGCCATGGTATTGCAGCTGCAACGGATGACCAAGAGATTGTGCGACCCCTAGCTGTGGAGTCCGGAACTTAACGAATGTACTGAGTTTCGCCTTGGTTCCGTCCAAGACATGGCCACATGGCGCCACCGGGCTTCTCTCGTGAGCTGTGCGTCGGGTGTCGCGCGTGCGCTGGTTGGATTTCCTACCGCCGGCCTTGTTTTTTCTTTCGGCTGTTAAATTCGGGGCCACAGCCCTTGGTGTTTAATAAGCGCGTCATGTCGGATCCTTTTCCACAGTCTCTTAATGCTGAAGCGGACATTCTTATTTTGCCTACTTCTTACAATCTCGTGTGCATGACTTCATCCTTTGCCGTGCTGCCGCAAGTATCCCGTCTTGCAAACCAGCTTATCGTGTACGATAGATGGCGGCTCCTTGACATTCGCACCGATCAGCATTCCCATTAGCAAAGGAAGCAATCTCGATTCATTCCAGCTGATTGCTTTCGCTGGACCCTGACCGATGGACCCTCCTCGATGGACCAAACCCTGCCCCAGCGAGCAAAACATAATGAATCCTCGGTGGAACCCATCCTAGCGGCGCCTCGCTAGTCACAGCCCCTAACAGACAAAATAGCAAAAGGTTCATTCCACAAACCGTAACTGTGTCCAAGGGTGTATGAAAAACAGGCCCGGAATGTCAAACAGTATTCGCGCATCGCGTAGGTGCTTTTCCCAAAGTAAGAGGAAGTTCACATTTCACGCTGTGGTCCAGTCCCGCAGCATTGGCCGTCTGAAGCATGTCATGTAGCATGTTTTGAGCCCATTATTCTCCACGACGATCCTCGTCATGCGCAGGGCTGCGACTGCGGCTTCTGCCACCGCTTCGGGCCGGTGACGCGGATCTGCTCCGTGACCTGTAGGGTCCATGCAAAATGTTAGAAAGCCGCTTGCCCCAAGCCTGACAAGGGCACGAGATTGCATGATTCACATGATACACAAAAACATAAACCTCAAGTTAGCTTTTACCACCATCTTGATAGTGCCCCACCTGCTTCGGCTGCGCGAACGGCTCTTGCTGCGGGCAGGCGACCGCGACCTACTGCGGCTCTTGTCCCGGCTGCGCGAACGACTTTTGCTGCGGCTGCGGGAGCGCGACCTGCTGCGGCTCTTACTCTTGCTACGCGACCTGCTGCGGCTCTTGCTCCGGCTCTTGCTGCGACTGCTACGTCGCCGGCTGCCGCCACCGCCGCCGCCACCGCCACCCCCTCCACCACCGCCGCCATCGCGATCCTCCCTCACGCGAATACGCGCACTGCGATTACACGCATGACAGTTGCAAATCAACTACACGTACTCTACCCCCCAGGAATATGTGCGAAAACGCCTACCGAAATGCTTCCAGCATAAAATTTCAGGGAGGTCTCACAAAACAATGTCCACTCTGTAAAATACATAGGTCAATGCAGCCTTCGAATCAGGATCGTTCCCTACACGTCATTTGCAGGTTCGCAGTACTTACGTATCGTATGGGTTGCGGAACTCACTACCGTCCAGCTTACGTAGCGCCGTTTCCATGTCTTCCCGCGTGGCGTAGTCGATTAGGCCCAACATGCCACGGCCGTCCCGCATGACCTGGTGAAATATGACAGGATGCTCACTGGTTAAGCCATTTTCGCGTTTCATGCCTAGCGTGCCTAAAATTTTAATAACCACAAGTGTACTTTCAAGCATCGTCAAACAATACTATGTCTGACGTGCCTTCACAAGCGGGACATAGTAAGGGGCGGCCATGGGGACAGCTTTACCTGCGAGAACGTCACCTCGCCTGCGCGGCGCATGTGATCCTTAAGGTCCTGCCAGGAGCTGCTGATGGGCAGTCCAGTCACGATGACTCGATAGTCCGTGCGCCGGCTAGGACCGTATGGGTTGGGACCTAGGCTACGGGCGCTGCCGCTGACACTCCCGTAGCCGCCGCCGCCGCCGCCACCCCCACCCCCACCCCCACCGCCTCCGTAACCACCGCCGCCGCCGTAGCCACCGCCACCGCCGCCGCCGTAGCCACCGCCACCACCCCCACCCCCACCGCCCCCAAAGCCTCCACGACGACCATGCGAAATCTCGACCTGCGTGTTGTTACGCAGCCATGGTGAACTGACATGACGCAACGTCGCACGAATGCTATCCTTGGGTCCCCAATAATGCCTGATCACTAGGCACCACATGCTCAAGCATGCCCGCACCTTAAAAGCGTAAATGCTCAAAAAGCATGCAGCTGGTAGTTGCAGATACGTGCCCAACACTATGATAAATGCGATTATATGAAGATACTTTCGGAGGCCGAGACCACCATCGCTCAGGTATTACGGACTCCCGTGACCTACCCGCAATCGCTGACCCTGAAACTCGATTCCATCGCGACCGCGAACGGCGTCGTATGCATCCCGTTGATCCTCAAACTGCAAAGTGACATGGGAAACAGTAAGGCAGTATTTGTTGCACCAGAACCACAGACTGCCAACGGTCCTTCCGACAAGCGTAGGTCCATCCCTGTCCAGGGGACCTGCTTGCACATAGTGCAAATGCAGCACTATACAACAAACACAGCACCACACAAAAATTTGCTAACTAGGAAATAGACAGGAGTTGGAACGCACACACGAGTTGGAACGCACAAGCATTAAAACCAGCACGAAACGCACCTCGACAAAGGCAAACGCCGGAGGACGAGGCCCAATCTGCAAGGTGACGGATCGCAAGTAAGGACACCAACAGAATGCGTCAGTACATGGGTCACAGAAGTAACGGCGCACGGAGCAAAACATCTGACAGTACATAACCAGCAGCACATCTATCGCTGTCAGTAGCTGCGGCATGTCTTACCTTCAGGTCCACGCTCCGTATGCGTCCGTACTTGAAGAAGAGATCCTCAACCTCTCGCTCCCGTACATCCATCGGCAAGTTGCCAACAAACACCCGTGTGTCACCCATCTTCGGGCTGCGCGGCGCACCCGACGCCGGCTTGGGACCTTGCTATTTGCCCAGAAAGAATCCTGTGCGCCCTGTACAAAGGAAGAACATGGAGATACATCCACGTCCGCAGGCGATGGCGTTTGCGTCAGCCGAGTCCGCGGAGAAGCTGTTGGTTGCCACGTGTCAGTGCTCTGCGGGGGTTGCTGTCAATGTGGCGCCCTCCTTCCACCTGAAGTCCGCCCAAGACCTCATTCTTGCGGACCATTGCTCCCCGTCCAACTCCTCGCGGCCGCCCTGCTATGGCTGCGCCGCCCGCCGTTTGGTGATTCGAGAAACACATGGAAGCGCCTTACGTGACCAACTTGGCTGTGGTGCAAGCGCCAAGTTCGAGTCACCCCGGCACCAAGATGGCCTCCGGGCTGTGGGTCCGGTAAGTTCCAAGCGCCAAAGGCTTGTTCGCCACAGGCCGCGCCGCGATCCCTCCCGTCCCGTCCCGTCCGAGGTCCTCTCCGATTGCACAGCTAAGCAACGGGAGAGAAGGGCCTCTTGTCAGGGCGGCCCAAAGCAGTAAACACTTTACGGCTCGGCAAGAGGCCTCCATATTTTGGTCAACCTCCGCGCGCGCATACCACGCTGGCTTCTCAAAATCGTCGCCCCAACATACTCTTCATATATATGTGCCAACCGGGGAGGTCATCAAAAGCCCATCTGTTAACTTACCAAAAGGATCAGACGCGCTTCGTAGAAGGGCGGCGCTCCTCTGAAGTCTTGAAACTTGACCTGGACCTTGATATGAACAGAGACGCTGTAGTCGAATTTACCGAACGGGACGCAGCGCGGGCTTAGTCCAGCTTTTTTTTTGCTTGGCCGTACGGTACGGCATTTTTTCCAGGAAATTAAAGTCATCTGCGTCTCAAAGGCTAATATAGCGCAAGCCATTTCTCATGGATTTATCAGGAGGCATCATATCATAGTGTTGCCCGTAACTGCAACTTGGCATGGCCCACTGGTGAGTTTGGTCGTATTCTGTTAAGTATTTGCGTCGGCAAATCCATTTTTCCTGCCATGGAACTACCAAGCCTTTCATTCTAAGTCGCCTGGGCTAATCCGTAACTCTCTTCACCTGTGTTGTTTTGAGCTTGCACTGCTTCCAGTTGGGTATGGGCTTTACTTGTCAATGCTTGCAGCCGGTAAAAGTGCCCCCCTTTTAGTTGAGTGGAGCTGCTGCAGCGTTCCAATTCAAAGTTGAGCCTGACTGCCTTCCGTTTGTGATACTGCCACAAGCGATGCGCTTGTGGGTTCCAAAGAGGCCGACATATATAAAAGTTGATATGGTGCCGTGTCTAACACGTCGGTTCAGGGGACGTACTTGTCGTTTACCGCAGTCCGGACGGAACTTTAACCGTGCATCGGGCTAGCAGCTGGAAGCCTTCTTACACTGGTCAAAGTTTTAATAAGTAGGTTGAATAAATAAGTCGGTTTCGAGCGACCTATCGAAGCCCATGGAGGACGCGACCTGAACCCCCTAGCGCTGCACGTAACCAACGGTGGCCAACGGTGCTCCGCGTCCTGCGTCATCCTCGGGAAATAGGTAGGAGAGCAAAGACCTTAAGTGAAGCCACGTCTTAAAGGAAGCCATATCCGCCCATACCGCAAAGTGGGCCCAATCCCGAAGGTTAGCACCCAGCCGAAAGGCCGTATAAAACAGAGCACCCCTACATACACTTCGTACTCACAGACCACTCACCCGCAGTGCCCTGACCTTTCACCCACGTGTCCTTTAAGCCTTCTGTTCTTCCGACTGCAGCTGCAGCTGTCCGTACCGCCCTAGGTCGCTGGCGGCCCTGGTGCAGCTTATGACCGCCGCAGCGGGCCCCCTAAACCGTTTGGGGCCTGCGTACAAATGACCGATCATCCTGAAGGCCCTCAGTCCAGCCCCAATTTAGGGTCCAGGCAAAGCCAGGAGCCAACCAGCCCATCAGCTGCCAACCATCGCATCGCTCTGCACTCATGTTGCAGGGGGAGGAAAAGCGACCCGGTCCCTGCTCCTTTGCAAGTTCCCAAGAGCTTGACAATGATGACCTGGGTGGCGGCCAGTTGCGGGGTGGTGACCCGGTGCCGTCCCAGGCTCGATGGTCCTTCCATACAAAATGCGCACGCATTGCTCGAACCCCGCACCAAACCATCAGCTAATACCACCACGATAAGGGTGCACACGTGCGTGACCTTTCTAGCTTAAGCAGCTATAAAAAAGCATCGTGCATATTCGGTGCTCAAGTCCCCTTGCCTCCCATGCTGTCGTGCACAGCATCAGGAAAGTTGACATGCTGATCACTACGAGCCAATACGGCGCACGCACTCCCATGTGCCGGGAGAGCGCCGGGAGGCGCTCTCCGGGAATACCTCACCCCACATCAACCCCAACCCCAACCCCCAGACCAAACGCCAAACTGCACCGCTCCGCACCCCTCGCCTCGCCCGGCAATACACCAGAACAAGGGAGTGCTGTGGGCGGGACTCTTTGCACAGACCCTTCCAGATAGGAGGTCACCTCCGAATCATAAAACACGCCCACCCCGATCGGCACATCCTTCACACCAAACCCTCTGTCCAGTACAACGATGGGGACTCACGCGGCCTCCCTTGCACGCTACCACTATTCCCACGCAAGGATCACACACCTTTTGTTAGGTTGCGGATCATTACAAACATCACCTCGCTTTCCCCTCGAATACCTGCCCTGCCAACCTCTACTCGCTCCTAGCAGTACGGCATCCAAATCCAAGCATAGCCCAGCCCTGGATCCAAATTTGGATCACTATCCCAGCCTGCATCCAACCAACATTTCGCTTTGGAATGCAAACATAAATTAATAGTGTAATCTCGGCAAATAGAAACCACCCAGGTCTGCTCTTGCAGAAGCTCAAGACGTGGAAAACAAGGCCATAACGGGATTCTTCAAGTCAGGCAAGGCCCTGCATGAGAAGAGAAGGGAAAGCTGCTTCGGCTATTGAAATTCATATCAACGCCACCGAGAATCAACCTCCCTGCTCATGTCCTGGCCGCCATGCGCCTCCGCCGCAGCCCCAGCACCACCACCAACGCCGCCAGCAGCCCCAGCATCAACGTGTTCTCCACGTTGCCCGCATCCACGCCGCCCCACGCCGCCACCAGCTGCCCACACCAAGTCTGCATCGCCGCTGTAGTCCGCGCAAGCGCCGCCGTCACCGCCTCAACCACCGCCGCACCCGCCACCGACACCGCCTCGATGCCCCTGCTGGCGCCCTGCTCCGCCCGGCCGGCCTCACCAGCGTCGGCTGGGACTGACCCACGGTTCCATCTCCGCGCCGCTTCAAGGCCTCGTAGCAGCTTCGCGTGCCCTCGCGCCAGAGCGTGGGAGCCCAAGAAGGGCGCCAGCCAGCCGTCGATCCGCATTCCCGCCAGCGCCAGAAGCGGGGCCAGGGCGCGGGAGGAGCGGATGCCAGCGACCTCGAAGGCCCTTCGGGAGGGCAATTGCGGCGTTATGCAACACCACGACACAAGTCAGCAGTCATACGACATGACATGTACCTATACTAATCGCGGAAGGAACCACGCGCCTGAGTGGCAACGCAAACACGGAATGTGTAGGGATTGGAACACAACGAAGGTAATGCGGATATGTAGCATCATAGAACCCTAGAAAGCATCCTTCCTAACCCCCCTTCCGTAACCCCCGCCGCAGTAGCTACTCCTCACCTCAGCCACAGCATCCTGGCGAAGGTAGCGTTCTCCGCCACGCCCACGCCGTGGTAGTTCGCCCAGCCCAAATAGAACAACCCCTCGGGGTCCCCCGCCGCGGCCGCTGCCCGGTACCAGGCCACCGCATCCGCTGCCGTGGACACCCCGAGTACGGCGCGGCGGGAGGGCAAGGCAGCGGGCTGGACCAGCTGCGGCTTGGGCGGCTTCTGGTGGGGCCTCAAAACGGACATCAGCGGGGGCATGTCAGGAAGAGCGCTGGAGGTGTTGGAGGTGGAACTGGAATTGAGGGTGCTGGAGGTACTGGAGGCGCTGGGGACGCTGGAGGTGGGCGAAGAGGTCTTGTCGGCAGAGACTGCTGCCGATTGGCCTCCGGCCGCGGCCCCTGTAGCAGCGGCGGCGGAGCCACCGTCGCCAGCAGCATCGGCACCGTCAGTGCCCACGGTAGCAGCAGCAGCAGCAGGTGTCGCGACCGCCTCTGCCGGAGTACCTGCCGCCGCAACGTCCGCACTCGACGCGGGTGTGGCAAATGCAACTGACACCCCGTCAGATCCTGACTGCCCATCCGCCGCTGCTCCGACTACAGTAGGAACATCACCTCCGCCCTCCGCCTCGGACAACTTCTCTGTCCCAGCGGTTCCGCTAGTGACGGCGGCACCGCTGGCAGCAGTTCCGTCGTCAACGGCGCCACTGCCCGTGGCGGCTGCGTCAACGGCGCCACTGCCCGCGGCGGCTCCGTCAACAGCGCCACTGCCCGTGGCGGCTGCGTCAACGGCGCCACTGCCCGCGGCGGCTCCGTCAACGGCGCCACTGCCCGCGGCGGCTCCGTCAACGGCGCCACTGCCCGTGGCGGCTCCGTCAACGGCGCCACTGCCCGCGGCGGCTCCGTCAACGGCGCCACTGCCCGCAGCGGCTCCGTCAACGGCGCCACTGCCCCTGGCGGCTCCGTCAACGGCGCCACTGCCCGCGGCGGCTCCGTCAACGGCGCCACTGCCCGCGGCGGCTCCGTCAACGGCGCCACTGCCCGCGGCGGCTCCGTCAACGGCGCTACTGCCCGCGGCGGCTCCGGTACCGTTTCCTGTAGCCTCCTCGTATGGCGTTACTCCAGCCGCTACCCCGGAGGCCGCCCCGTCCCCGGACCCGGCGGGCCCCCCTGCATCCGTCTCCACACCTACGGCAGGGGCAGCAGGGTCCACCTCCGCTGGTGGTGCGGCGCTCGCGGGTATGGCCTCGGGCGAGGTCACGGCATCTGTCGTTAAGCTCGGGGGTGTGGTCTCGGCGACAGGCGGGGCTCCCTTGTCTTTTGCCGCTGAGAGGATCATATGCGCCAGTTCCACCATGCTACCTGTGTGACCCTGCTTCGCCGCCCTGGAAGCCGAGGAGGGGGCGGGGGAATTCGGGGGGATTGTATTGGGTTTTAATGAATACCAATCGTTTCGTTTGGGGCCTCCGGGTGCCGAGCTTTGTTTCCACCTCGCCCGAGCATAGACACAATGCCTACATAGCCGCTGGTCTAGACTGGAGACTTCTGGTCTGGAGACACTACTGCAATTTGCAGTTCAAGGTTCTGGGTTTGATTCCTAGGTAGGCCCCAAGCATTGTCGGAAGTGTGAGAATATGACACAGGTCACAGTTGATGAACCGAGATTCGCACCACGCTGAATTTGTGGCGACTGCTGAATCCTCTGTCTCTACAGATATTCGGGTGGCAGGATGAGGAAAGATCGTAGAAGGCAGGATCAACCGCCTTGGACTTGCAGTTCGTATGGCGTAGTTCAGTGTGGTTATGGTGGATGGTGCTGTAGGCATGTTCATTCCTAGATGTGACAATCCAAATGTATGCAAATGGCCCAGAAGCCCATTCCCACTCTGTAACAGCACATAACATACAGATTCACCGATCGATAAGGGTGAACAAGTCGCAGGTGAAGTAGATTTCAATCGTCGAGATGTGCGACTCCTGTTTCAGCTTATAACAACGTACATGTGCTCACAAGCTCCATAGTGTCACAATCGTAACTAGCTACTGAGACCCGCAGGTCACTGGGCGGGCCCCCACCTCTGGAAGTACTTGGCAGCCAGCTTATCCGCGTCCGGTCCCGAGTAACCCGCTCGGCGGCGCAGCAACCAGGCCGCGTTGGCGGCTGCTGCGGCGCTGCCCTGCTCGGCCACTGTGATGTACGTCAACAGCGCACCCCGGGTGTCACCTGGTGGTTAGGAGTTGCGGTTGGGAGTTGCAGTTGGGAGTTAAGTTGGGGGGTTAAGAGGGGCCCAAGGAGGACGTGGGAAACAGGCCCCCCGCGGGGTCGAGTGCTGCAGGGCGACTCTAAGAACGAAATGCTTGCAGCGGCTGAAGCCTCCCCGCCACGGAGGCAATGTCCCTATGGGGTCCAGCTCACATTCCCATTCCCCCAACCCAACCCAAACGAAACCAACTGTCCTCCACCCGCCCACGCACCGACCTGCATCCAGGAGCTTCACCGCCGCGGTCAGCTGCGGGCCCCAGGTGCCGCGGTCGGCAAACAGCAGCCGCAGGTATTTCATCGCAACAGTGCAGTTGGCCTCAGTGCCGGCGCCCGCCTCGTGGGCCAGAGCCAGCATATACGGCGCCCGCCAGTGACCCAGATCAAGGGCGCGCTTGAACAGCTCCAGAGCTGCGAAAACGAGCCGCAAATAAACAAAGACAGTTCGACAGTGCACATCCTCAACATTACATCAGAGCAGCCATGTGCAATCAACAACTAGTAGGCCAACACCAGCCAGGCTATACACCTGCGCGGCTGACCTGCCAAAAACAAAACAAAACAAAACAAAACAAAACAGGGCTATCCACATGATCCCCAACCATCAACACCTCCCTCCCACAACAGCCACCCCCCCCTGCCCCTGTCCTTTCCCTTCGCACAGCCTCCAAGACCCCATCCCCCTCACACTGCGCCCTCCACCTTCCTGACCTCCACCCTTTCCCTTTCCTTCTCTACGCACCGAGCTCCCTGTTGACGGGTGTCCCCGCGCCGTGAAAATGCATGGTGGCCAGGTTGTACACGGCATCCGAGTTGTTGAGCGCGGCTCCACGCTCGAACGCCTCCCGGGCGGCTGTCAGGTTGGGAGCCATGCCCTGCGAGGTCGCACCCACACCCACAGGGGAGAGGGCCAGGGAAGGCAGACAGGGCAGGTAGGGCAGCCAGTGTAAGGAATGCCCGGGAAGAATTGAGAGAGCACCAGCAGGGGATGTGGGAAACACCTGGTGGGGGGGGAGCACCTGGATAAATAGAGGAGCAGTTGTGAAGGGAAAAAGGCTGCGAGGTGACCCATCAACAACATCGTCATCATCGTGATGACGAAAGGGGTGAAAGGGTTGAAGGGGAGCGACAAAAAGCGGGCCTACGGATCCAACAAGCCAACATCGAAGCACTGTAACGGACAGAACCCCGAACGGCGACACCATCCCCTCAGGGCGCGGCAGGGGCAACAGAAAGATTGCCAATGAAGGACTTAAGAAGGGTGATCAACACTTGTCGGTACACCTCTGGAATGTGCGAGGAGGAATCAATACGGGCGATGGGTGGGTGGTCCCCCGGGCGCCATTCCTATCTTGCATTACAGCTACTAACCATGGCCGGAGGAGACGTAAGAAAGGCACGCGTGCCATTACACAATACCGTAAATACCACAATTACGCGACAAGGCCCCCTCCCTGCCTCCTCGTCCGCGACTCACATGTCCGTTCCACGCCAGCACGCCCAGGCCGTTATGTGCGGAGGGAAGGCCCTTCTCAGCCGCCTTCTCAAAGTACTCCTTGGCGGCCGTGTAGTTCTGTGGCACGTACAAGCCCTGCCGGAAGAGCATTCGGAGCAAGACAGACAGTCAGTCAGACAGACAGACAGTCATGGGGGGAGAGGGGCAGACAGACAGGAATGCGAGGGCATTGGAGGTAGGGCGCAAAGGCTACGAGGAATGGGACCAACGGGCGGAGGGAACCTCCCGACGGAGGCGGCTTGCGGCGCCTTAAGTAGCGATACACCGGCAGGGCAGGGATTTGGCCTTAAGGAAGGAACAGCGAGCCTAACAGGGCTGGACATGGCACCTCCAGCCAATCACCCTAAGCCGTGCCCAAACCCCTTCCCCGGGCCCCACCCCACACACCATAGCCCGTGATGGATCCTACCCGTACACTGCGCCGTTGACCACAGTACCCCCTGATGTGCGTTCGTTGCAGTACCCACCCACCCGCAGGTGCATGTAGCCGATGTTGAAGATGGCGTACGGGTCCCCCTGCGCCGCTGCGGCCTGGAAGTCATGGTAGGCGCCCTCTGGGTCGGCCTCCATGCCCCGGCCCACCAGCCGCCGGTAAGCCACACGCCGCATCGCATCGGTGTTGCCCCTGAGGTGAAGGGGGGGGGGGCGAAGGGCGAGTCACGGACGAATGAAGCTGATACAAGGGATAGGCGGATACGCCAGGAAGGAGGGGAAGGGGGGTGAACTGAGAAGGCGTGTGGGAGTCCGGGGTTTTCTCCAGGAGAGAGCGGCGGTCCGAAGTTGGGTTTGAATGCGTGTTGTCGGCATGATGTGTGGTTGGCTGGAGGTCAGGAGGACAGGTAAGCAAACAAGCAAACAAACAGAACAAACAAACAGAGCAAAAACGATGAAAGGAAACAACGAACGCATAAACGACGTGGGAAGGGGGATGGAGATATGCAACAGGACAAGTCACATGACTGCGTTTATTTCGCTGTCTTGAGCCGCCCATCAATGCACCCCAGGACAACCCAACACAGTGAGCTCCCCTCTCACTCACCTGAACGCCAGGTCCTCCTCCAGGCTAATGACGTGCTCCCCGTTCTCCGCATCCTCCGCCGCCACGTAGGCCCCGTCAGCGAACCGCTCGCGGAGGGACACCGGCTGCAGGGAGGGAGTGTACCTGGGAGATGGGAGAGGTAAAGGGATGGAAAAGGGGGAAAGACGAACCACGAACGAGTGAAGCTGCTGGAAAAGGGGGAAGGAGAGGGAAAATGAACATCCTGGGAAGAGGAGGGAGGCAGATAAAGATCCAAAGAACTGCTGTGTCACGTAACGGCACCGTGTGTTTGGCGGGAAGGGAGCGCCAGGGGCGGGGCAGCGTGCGTTGGCGGCGTGGTGACGTGGCGTGCCTACTAGCGGGTCGGGACCTTATAGGTACCGCCTCCCCTGCTCCCCTGCCTTGCCAACAATATGTTCCTTACTCCCATGAACACTTCCTGCGATCGCCGGACCACCCTCGCAACCAACCAACCAACCAACCAGCAACCAACCATGGGCCCCGTGAGGCCTTCCCCACCTCTGCTCCTTCTCCACCTCCGCCGCCAGGTACATGGCGGCCAGCTTGCCGAACAGCATGCCGCGTGCGCAACTCGCGGGAGTGCCGATACCCTGCGGCACCAGCGGCAGAAACGGCACCGGACCAGTGGCTGCCGCGACGGCTACACTGCTGCAACCGGGACCCCAATCGGGCGCCCCCCCGGAGGCCCAAACCTGAACTCCTGTTGTGTTTCCCCCTCTTCAACAACTGTACCCCACCGCGCTCGAGGCACTTCGCCCCCTTCGGGGCACCCTAGGCTGTCCCCCAAGCGGGCCCCTAGGCCCTAGCGCTCACCCGTACCTGTTCGTGCCTGTCTGCTAGCGCCATGAGGGCCTCCAGAGACCCCGCCCTGGCAGCCTGGTGCAGCGCCACAGCAGCGCCCAGAGGGTCGTGAGGCAGCAGCTCGGGGGGCAGCACGCCGGAGGCCTGCAGCGCCGCGAGCTGGAAAGTGGCCGCGGCGGCGGCGTGCAGCCCTGGGGAGGTGGGGAGGTGGGGAGATGGGAAGACGGGGGAGGTTGAGCATGTGAAAAAGCAAGCATGTGAACGAAATGGGACTGAGGAGGAAAGGAAATACAGGGGCGAGTCAGCCGGGGCCCCAAGGGCGGCCCAAGCAGGACAGAGGACATATGCAAAAATGCGATCAAGGATGCGATCAAGGAGCCTTGCGGAAGAGGGAACCCTGAGGGGGCCAGGTTGTCACGAGAAACACTCCTTGTGAGCAGCACGCGGGGGCTGAGAAGAACCGACGGGCTTTCTATGGACAACGCATGACGGACCTGCTGCCTTAGGCGGACCTCTAGCTTCACTTCCCCCGTCTGCTCATCCTTTAGGCAGCGCGCAGCGAGACACGTGTACCCCTGCCAGCCCAATCAAAGCTCTCAAAAGCACAGCAAATTATCGAGGCACCGTCCATAACGGATATCCATGGATAGCTTCAACATCACAAGGATGCTATTCATGCTTTTAGCATGAACTGACCAAATCTTTGATGAGGAGTTAAGAGGAAAAACACGTTTTTTTTGCAAATGTGGCCCTACTCGTCTGCTCACCCGCGTGCCTGCTCTCCGCCACCTCCAGCAGCAGGGGCCGCTGCTGACTCTGCGTTGCCCTGAGGGAGCTCCCGGATACGGCCTCCGCGGAGGTGGTGGTGGTGGTGGCGCTTTCGGAGGTTTGAGGGGCAAACCGTGCGCGACTCTGTAGCCGGTCGGCCGGCAGGGCGGAGAGGGAGGTCGGCAGCGCGGGGGTTTCGGGGCGAGGTGGGCAAGTAGTGAAATGCGAACGCATGGAGAGGAGAGGGGCACAGAGGACGAGGAGTGGGCGCGTAGGCAGGAGGAGGCTGGTCAGCAGCTATGGGCGCGACGGGCCACTGGTCTGCAGCAAGCCTTGGCCGATAGTGGGCAAGGCAAGAGGAGGGCGAGGAGGTGGACAGCCGCTGCAGCTGCGGACCAGAGATAGGGAACCAGAACTCTGTCCGGCAGGAGCAAAATCACCAAAACGATTCCCTCCCGACGACGCACATACATACAGGAACATCAGGCAACATGTCATCCGAACGCAATGGGCCGCGAGAACAAAGATGCAAGCCCCTCCATCGCCTGTGTGTTCCTGTAGAAGGAAACACCGGCGGTGTGGTGGAGGAGAGAAGTGACGGGCCGCCCCCTGGTCAACGCATGCACCTGGAATCCGGCGCAGGATCGATTCCCCTTCCCCGCCCTCCTGTTCAGTGCTCAATAAACACATTACACCTTTGGGGGTAACGCAGCACGCAATTCAAGGTGCAAAACACACACACACATATACGCACCACCGGAGTGCTGGGCAGTGCCGCCTCCACCAGCTCGTGCAGCTCCTGCAGCTCCTTCAACCCCGCGGCCATATCCCGGCGACCCGTGCTGCCGTAGACGAGCATCTGGGCCTCCTTCAGCCTGCAGCGTGTGGCGGACAGTGGTGGATAGCACCAACACCATTAGCACCGCCAGCACCAGCATCAATCGGCATCGGCAGTAGTAGCAGCAGCAGCAGTAACGGTGCCCGATGGTTGGGGACGGCGGCGGGAGGCGGCAGCCGGAGGGTTTCGATGGGTGGCACCAATTCGCGGAAGGAAGGAAATGGAGCAGCTGCAGCGGCAGCAGCCCCCACGCTGTGCGGGTTAAGGAAAGTCATCCTTCTTTGCGCTGCTGCAGCAGCAGCTCCGTAATGCGGTACTGAAAGAAGCAACAAAGTCGCGCCGGGCCCGAGTGCGGTGAGATGGAGCTACAGCCGCGGGGCAATGAAGAAGGAGGGGACGAGGATGAGGATGGCGCAGGAATGCCCAGGCAGGTTGCAAAGGAGGACGGGCGAACTGGGGGTCGATCTGCGGCCCGGACCGGCCCGAACCAACGGACCCACTGACACCACACACGGAGCCCCATAGAACCGCCCGACCCTATCCGGAACCGCAAAGTCCCCCCGAGCGACAATTCCCGACCACGACGACGCACTTCTTCTGCACATCTCCCACTGTCATGCCGCGCAGAGGCCCCAGCGCCTTCCCCTCCGCCTCCGCCTGCAGCGCCGCCCGGTCGGCCTCAGATACCGCCTGAAAGGTGCCGTCGGCCCGTGGCTTGACGGTTGTGGCTTTGGATCCGTCCGGTCCGCGACTGGCGTCCGCCTGCGCTGCCGCCGTCAGGGCCGCTGCTGTGACGTCAGTCGCCGAGACCGCAGCACCGGCGGCTTCAGCGGTGGTGGCGGTGCCAGTGCTGGTGCCGTTCTCCAGGCCACTGTCCTGCATGACGGCGTCTGGGACAGCTTCAGCAGGGGCCGCGGCGGTGCCATCCTCTAGGCCTCTGCCCTGTACGGCGGCATCAGCAGGGGCCGCGGCGGCGCCATCCTCTAGGCCGCTGCCCTGTACGGCGGCATCAGCAGGGGCCGCGGCGGCGCCATCCTCTAGGCCGCTGCCCTGTACGGCGGCATCAGCAGGGGCCGCGGCGGCGCCATCCTCTAGGCCGCTGCCCTGTACGGCGGCATCAGCAGGGGCCGCGGCGGCGCCATCCTCTAGGCCGCTGCCCTGTACGGCGGCATCAGCAGGGGCCGCGGCGGCGCCATCCTCTAGGCCGCTGCCCTGTACGGCGGCAACAACTGGGGCCGCGGCGGCGCCATCCTCTAGGCCGCTGCCCTGTACGGCGGCATCAGCAGGGGCCGCGGTGGCGCCGTCCTTCAGCTCGCTATCCTGAGCTGCGGCAGCGGCTTCTTGCATTTGCGCTGCAATAGCAACAGGGTCGGCAACGTTGTGCAGCGCCCAGTCGGCAACCACTTCAGCAGGGACCTGCAAAGGTGGTTGCTGCTGCCCCTCCTGCTGCCCCTCCTGCTGCCCCAGTGGAGCGTCCAGCAACTGCCTTTCTGCCCCCCATTGCTCCTCCTGCTCCTCCTGCTCCTCCTGCTGCTGCTCAGGATGCTGCCGCTGCTGCCCCTCAAGCCCATCGGCGGCCACCTGAGAAAACTCCGACCAGCCGCATCGGACTCCACCAGCCGCATCGTAGCCGGCATGGGACCCCATGCCCTCCGTGGAGCACTGCTGCAGGTGGTGCTGCAGGTGGTGCTGGTGACGGACCTCCGCAACGGAGTCGGCCAACGACGTTTCGGGGTCGGAGGTGGCGGATGAGTCAGCAGCCTGCCAAGCACTCCCGTCGTCACCGCCGCCGTACACGGAGCCGTCGTCGACGTACACAGTTCCTTCCGGGTAGCCAACGCCGGGGCTCTGTACGGCATCGGCGGACGCGGCCCCGCTGTACCCAGACTGCTCATTGGCATAGTGCCATTGCTGCGCTTCTTCAACGACTGACGCCACGTCAGCCTCCAATGGCTCCGCAGGTGACATTGCGTAGTACGCCGCCCCGTCTGCCTCGCCTGTGTAGTGGTGCTGCTGCGACTGCTCGTACTGTTGCTGTACGTGCTGCAGGTGCTCGTACTGTTGTTGTACGTCCTGCATCTGCTCGTACTGTTGGTGTTCATACTGTTGCTGTTCGTTCGGATGCTGTTCGTGCTGTTGCTGTTCGTACTGTTGCTGTTCGTACTGTTGCTGTACGTTCAGGTGCTGTTCGTTCGGGTGCTGTTCGTACTGTTGCTGTTCATACTGTAGCTGTTCGTTCGGGTGCTGTTCGTACTGTTGCACTGCCTGGTACTCCTGCTGGTACCCTTCCGGTTGCTGTTGCTGGTGGTGTTGCTGGTGTTGCTGGTGCGAAAACCATTCCCAGAACGGCTCCAGATCAGGCTGCTGCTGCTCCTGCAGCTTCAACCACAGGGTGTACATGTGGTAATGATAATCCACCTGGTCGCCTGTGACCGCGGTGTCGCCTGCAGTCCGTGGCGCCGACTCCTCCGTTACAGCCCGGCCACCTTGCTGCGCATCCTGGTGCCACTGCGCAGCGACCTCCAAGTCCAGTTGCTGCTGCTGCATGTACATCTGCTCTTCCGGCTGCTCGTGTTGGTGTTCATTACGCTGATGCGGGTGCGGGAGCTGACCAGAGACTGGTGCAGCTTCCCTTTTGCTATCGACGGCTTCGGCGGCTCCAACCTCCGTTTGTACCCACTGCTGCTGGTCCCAGCCACCGTATGCATCCGACGGGCCGGTGCTACCCGTCACCGCTTCCTGCGCCGCATACGGAGGCGGATGCTGCTCCTGGAGCACCTGGTCAGGCTGCTGGTGCTGCGCGTAGTACTGTAACTCGAACACACGAAGAGCAAAGATGAGCATGATCATGGGCGTGAGCATGAAGGTGGGGAAAGCGTGAGTACGGGAGAATCGAACTGCGCGGTGGGTTGGCTAAGGTGTGCTACGTGCAGTCGTGTCACATAGTGTGACTTAACCCGGACATACCTGCTGGGTTTCGTCTTTCCACTGCAATCCGTCGTGTTGCCCTGCCAATACCGGTGTTGGGGATGCGGTGTTGCATGTGGTAAACTTTACAAGTAACCCTTCGCTATCCAAGAAGCCTCGTGAGACAAGTAGATCTTTAGTCGGTTGCAACTACTTACCTCCTACGGAAATGAGGAGGGCAAGTAAACATCCCAAGCCCGTCGTCCGTATCATATCCACTGCCCAGCTGGTGCAAGCATCGTCCGGGAATAATCAATGGGTAGGTGCGGATCAATAATTTAGGGTCTTACGATAGGGTCTTTCGCGCGAATAAATTAGACGTTCTTGGTCACAGAGCGGGGTTCTGCCAACTTTACAAGGCTTATGCGTCCATAACTATAACCCCTAAATTCCTTTCGCACGCGGAACTGAGGATACTCAGTATTCCCCGAAAACACATGGCGGAAGAATTTTCTGTACGGTGTATAGAAGTTGCACAACCGCTCCAGATCACAGCCTAGGATTGCACGATCAAGTTGACCAATAGCCTTGCACATAGGTAGGCTGTGATAACACGTAGAAACAGTCACTGGATTAGGAGTCTTTAGGCCCTTGGGGCGTCGAATGCCATCCTGATTAATTAATGCCTTCGTTAAAGGCAACTGCGTAGCTTCTAAACAAAGCGCATGTTAGCAATGGCAGCGCAGACTTCGGCGGCAAGTGTGCGCTTTTCGTGCCTGGCGTTAGTTGTTGTCCTTTGCGCTGCCAAGTTTGCTGCTTCGCTTGATAATGGCGTCGGGAGGACGCCGGCTATGGGTTGGAATTCTTGGAATTATTTCCGTTGCAACATCAACGAAACGATCATTCGGCAGGTGGCAGACGCCATAGTGTCGTCAGGCTTGAAAGATGCTGGATACGTTTACGTTAACATTGGTGCGTAGTAACCATACTGGGCAAAAGAGGGATCACTTGGTTGCGGTCCGGCTATAGCACGTGGTCAACAGCCGGGCCCATAGCAACTCAGGATGGAGAGATCACTTCGCAAAGAACACAAACGTCAAACTTCCCCACCCATCTGCACCTCAGCGAGGCAGGAAAACCCATCTCCCTTGCTGGGCCGTGCTAAACCCCTTCTTCTTGTGCTTCCCTTCCCCTTCTAGCCCAACGCTAACACATCCCCGCCCTCACCCCGGCCCACAACCGTTATCGCGAACACGTGTGATTTTCCTTTCCCATGGAACTAACTGATCCACGTGCGCTCATTGGCCCCGGAAATAACAGACGATTGCTGGATGGAGAAGCGCGACCCCCAGACAGGCCGCATTCAGCCCTTTGCGAGCAAGTTCCCATCGGGCATGAAGGTGTGCTGATTTGATCCGGAGGCCCGCTCGCCCGGGGCTGGGGACTACTGGGAGCACCAGAAGCCTGCTTCCTCAAGGCAGGCTTGACAGCCCAACCCGTCCACCCGCCCTTACACGATACACAGCTTTCTGTGGCGGGCCCCCTTTGCTTTGCGGGGATGAATCGAGAGACTGACTTGCCACAATAGTACGGCTTGTGTACTGCTTACCTGTCATACTGGCGTGACGTGTACTGCCAGGCGCTCGCCGACTACATCCACGGCCTGGGCCTCCGCTTCGGCGTGTACTCTGACACGGGCAACAAGACGTGCGAGGGCTACCCTGGCAGCTGGGGCTACGAGAAACTGGTGGGTGGGAAGACAGCACGGCAGTAGCAGCACGGCAGTAGCAGCATGCGTGTTAAGGTTGTATCAGCGGAACGAGCCGTTTAAGCGGCGGGGTTAAGTGGGGAGAGATGGGGATTAGAATGGGATTGTGGTTAGAGGGCATCATGACGGGTCTGGGAGTAGCCGGGACCAGGACCTGGGCGATGAAGGTTGGGGGTTAGGGCTTGTTAGTGCGGAACGGGGAGTAAGGGGTGAGGCCTGGTGACGTGACGTCACATATAGTAGCCAGGACGAGGTGCACATAGGCTTGGGCACCTGAGGCGAGGCAGAGGGAGGGTGTGGAAGCTGGAGGTCTGGGGTCCCTTCCCTCCCTCTTCCCCCTCTCATGCATTGGAGCATACACGATCCCTAGGACCCCATTATTGAAGCTTGAGATGCGCGGTTTTAAGCCACTCAGCGCATGCCGCAGTACCCACATGGCCAAAAACAGATTTACAGTTTTAAACGTACTCACTGCTTCACCCGGAAACCACACATACATACGTATATGTGTTCATATATATATATATATGAATATGTGTTCATATATATATACATATATATATATACTTACACACTACACGCACACAACTCACAGGACGCCGCGACGTACGCCGAGTGGGGTGTGGACTACCTCAAGTACGACTACTGCGGCATGGACGGTGTTCAGGAGAGCGTCAAGGCCTCCTACGAGCGCATGCGGGACGCCCTGGCGGCCACCGGACGACCCATTCTCTTCAGTCTGTGCTCCTGGGGCTCGGGGCAGCCCTGGGTGTGGGGAAAAGAGGTAGGGCGGGGGGGATGAGGGGCGGGGTGATATGGTGGC